TTTAGCTGGAGAGTATTCAGTTGTTCTTAACTCAATGAATGCTTTATTTTTAGTGTTGCTCCATCCAACAAAGAACAACCAATCAACACAGATCCGTCATCAGGCACTGGTGCTCCTTCTACTAGACCAGGTGACCCAATGACTAGTGCCAAACCAAAGCCAAAAGTTCACGAACCTTTAGCTGGGACTGAAAATACTGGCTACGATGGTGATCCTGCTAACACAACTCCTAAATCGGGTATTGCCCCTTCTACCGGACCAGCTGCCCCCAGTTCCAAACCGAAGCCAAAAATTCATGAACCTTTAGCAGGGACTCAAAATGCAGGCTACGATGGCGATCCTACTACAGCAGCCCCAGAATCGGGTACTGGTGCTCCTTCTGCCCGACCAGCTCCAGTATCGGGTACTGGTGCTCCTTCTGCTCGACCAGCTCCAGAATCGGGTACTGGTGCTCCTTCTGCTCGACCAGGAGGACCCAGTAGTAGTGTCAAACCTAAGCCAAACGTCCATCAACCGTTGTCAGGGACTGCAAATGTTGGCTACGATGGCGAACATACCGACGGTACAACAAGGTCATCTTCAGGGGGAAATCCTTCAGTATGGTTGACACCGCATGGGAGTGGTTCTTCAGGCAGTCATAGCTTTAGTGGAGGRGGGCACTCTAGTTCAAGTGGTCATCATTCTGTATGGCTCACTCCTCACTCCTATGACAAAGGTYCTAGTCATACCCAAGRCCCTCAAGGAAATTCTGGAAGTTCAAGTGCAAGCACGCACCATTCAGTCTGGCTGCATCCAGATAAATCGTCAAGTAACAATGGGCACTCTGTTTGGCTTACCCCGGATGAAAGTCACCTCCAAGGGCATCCAGGTAGCGGAAGCAATTTTGTATGGATGACTCCACATACGTCTAGTTCTGGTTCTGGCACAAACCRCAGTCAACCAACATATTCACATCGTGTTTATGTCCACAAACCCTTCCATGGTTCGAATGATGAACTSAAAGTCTACGCAAATGAAGGGCTAGACTCTGATCATGATGATATAAGTTGCCCAGGGGACGGAGATGACATTGCTGATCCAAAGGACATTGATCATTATAATATACCAGACCATGTCAAAGATAAATTTCGCGATTTAGATGATATTATTCATCGTAATAAATAAATGAATTATAGTTTACAGTAGAGCATTTTTAGTGGCAACTTCTTTGGCTGGACCCAATAGAATCAAACTTATTAGAGCTCTTGTGCTGGWAAAGCAAGTAAATCTAGTTTATTAGTAATTATAGATTCAGACGATAGATTATAATGTAGAGATATTTTCACAAGTTCATTAGAGATCAAAGAGGTAGAAATATGTTTTTTATTTGGGTTAAAGAAATATGCAATGATAAGCTATAAAGCTGAGAGCAAACTTTAAGAGTAAGCCTTTTTGTAAAAAAGCGTCGTGTAGCTAGAAATAGAGATTTCAGTTTCCGCGCAGTAACAAATTGTTATAAAAAATTTGCTCAGTAAAATATCAATAAAATAAGCTGATTTAAGAAGAGACTAAGTAAATTTARTTCTGATGGGGTCACAAAAAAGACTAMTGGAGGGAAGGATTGTAATTGTGTTACAGTARTGAAAACGTAATGTACAGACCAATGAAAATACTAGTGCCACTCTTTCAAGCGCTTTGTCACATTTCCATCATGACAAAATTTGAAGTAAAAACTGTGAGTGGAATCAGTGACAGGTTTTCCAGTATTTTATATTACAAAATAAGCAAGATCTYGTGATGACAATACGAAAAATTGTTCTGCGTTTTGCGCTTGAGTTAATTTTCACATGGTATTTTWTTATTAGCTTAGCATTTAGAATTGGGCTTGGATTTTGCGTCATAGTTTAAATTAAATCGACGTTAATTTAATTAGTAGCCATAATACAGTCACAGCACCAGAGCTTATTGAAAACTACTATACCGGACTTCCTGTGTTTAGCAAAATGTCAATAAAGTCATTGATCCGTGCGTTAGGGATCATTAGCGAATTAAGATTTGCTGCATTATGTGAAATTATTTACGTACTCGCAAGGACTTACGTTTTTCGAAACTGAYTTGTTATTCACACCTCTTAGAGTACTAGCAAGTAAAATGATTGAGCATAATTGAYCAAGAATCACTCGTATCGATATCAATTGAAGTGGGACATCTCAAATCCGATCAACAGTACATGTCAACAATCTTGTGCAAGAAAAAACTTGGATGTGTATGAATCACACGGTGAGTCTTCTTTATTCTTTAATTATTATTGATTTAAAATCGCATATTTCCTTCGTTTAAGTCGAAGTTTACATATCAAATAACTTATTGTTGATTGTTTTGGACGGTCTTGGACGGGAACTTTCTAGAGCTACCCATCCCATCATGCTGTGTTAATGTCATATTATCAAGGTGTTGTTGTTGAAAAAATCAAAGATACCCAATAGTTTTGTCTAAATAATAATCATGTAACTACAAACTCAGGGATKGATAAAGCTAGACCTCATTGTTATTGTCCCAAAGTTTGATAAACTATCAGATTGTACGAGCGTACCATTTTGAAATGACATCGGCGTATGGCAGTCTTGTACCTAAGCCTTGACTAAGTACTATCGAAGTGATCCTAGCAAGTAGACTGCGAAAGACTCATTTAAAATAATCATTTTGCTCAAACTTTCCAAAGTTCTTTTGTGAATGTGTTGAAATCACTGGATTAGTTAAAGTAACAATATTTACATAGCATGTAAATGCGAAGGTAAAAAAAACATAGTAAAACTAATAGAAATCGCCACCTTAAACAGACATTCAAAATAGAATATCACGAAAAAGATTAAATACAGAAACAAATTCACTGTTAAAAAAAACGTATTTAAGGGGCTAGTGTAATTACTTTTGTTAGGGTGTTCACCATAGCAACGATTACAGGCTCAATCGGTCTTTGTGAAGCCTTTGTGTGTASTAGGTCCTTGACAGCTATGCAACCATTTTATTTCTGACGTTTACTCGATAAAAAGACGTTAGGAATGCTTTACGCCGCAAGCCAAACCGTGCCGATGAAAAATTGTGGGCGATTCTGTCTAGAGAAAACACATATCTATTACATATAGAAGAAGTTATGTAGGATTRAAAACCACATGCTGGGTAAACAAAATTTTGTACACAAAGTATGTTAAGCTATCGCATTAAAAAAAGTTCAACAAAAAATGTATAGTAAGTGTTTTGCGTCGTTGTTGTTGTCAAGTTTGAAGACTTTGAAAGACGTTCATRTATATGAGGAATRCAGACTCAAGAGAAAAAAATCAAAAAGACGCCTAAGTATCAGTGTAGTTTATTATATGTTTATGAKCTTTTACCTTTTCATGCGAACAAACGAGCATATGCCTGTCTACAAATAGATATAAATAATCCCATGGTTTGACGTCATAGCTTAATAGAAACATTCACTGGTGTTATTAATTCTTGATGGATCCCCTGGGGATTCATTCTTTGAATTATGAGATTTTAATCATTGTTAATTGCAGACAAGTATTAGACTTCTAAAGAAAAGGTAATGCATGGTTTCAAGATAATGATTAATGTAGACAAAGGTCAACCTGGCCTAACCTGCGTCATTGTCGGTTTACTTTTGTTGTAAAACTAAGAAACAAAAAGTATGTCTTTGAAGAAATATTAAAAAATCTCCTTTTTACGTTTTTACGTATGAAATTATTGTGTGCCACAGAGGGTCACTAATTTTTTTTTCCCTAATCATATTGTTATACGATTTAGGCCTAGATTTTAAATGCACATCTTCGCATATGCCAAATACAATCCTGTTATTTTGGTCGATTAAAATATCTAAATCTGATTTAAACGTCGAATTCTAAATGACGAATATAATTGCCCTCTTGTTCACTGAGCTATCCAATATGGCGATAACATGCACAGATGACTCCTTCATACCAAGTATGCATTCCGTTTGGCACATGTGAAATTCGTGAATGGTATTGGTACAATGTGAAGCTTGACGTAAATAAACTGGTCAGGTCGGTCAAAGCATGCCTAGAGCTTGACAAAATGCACGTGGATTTCTTTAAAAATTTAATAAATGTTCAAAAATGATAGTTCGTGGCGTGTTTAATGCCAAAATCAAAGGAAATTAAATTAATTGATTAAACGGAATAATAATTACAAAAAAGAGGTTTACTCACTAGGAATGACAATGTTTCATCGGTCTCAAAAGATTTTCCAGGTGAAAAAGGTTTTATTGGTAGGGTCCAGGCCTTCACATTGTTTATAGTGGCGATTGTGGCGTGGTGCGGATTGTCAACACTATTTAGTTAAATTGCGGTAATGTGCAGTGAATGATCCTTACCATAATCACGTGGCCGACTATGATTGACAGTGTTCACTTTTAAGAATCATTTGTTTTCAGTAAACACTACTCTTGTTCATCTCGTTTGAACTTATTTGCACACCAATCAAAGCAATCTCGATTTTTGTCAATAGAGTTAGCAATATTCGATTTTGACAATATTGACCACATGAAATATGCTGAAACTTTCAACTATTTCCTTGTTCAAAGACACCGGGCGTAGTCAATTGTATCATCTGACACCTATCTAATCACTAACACATAGAGTGATTTGTATGGAGAATTCCAAGACTTAGGAAAAGAAAGATGAGAAATGCAAGGCATTCACTTATCAGTTCTTCTTGTCTTTATTGAAGATTACTAAGGATTGATGGCTGTTAGTTGTTAAGTAGTATGTCAAATTGTCTATTCTCTTAAAGGCTCTTTGGTGGTCAGATAGACAACTTTCAATCAAGTTGAGAAGTGTTTTGGTTCATTTTTTTGTCTTCTGYATTATAATTCCACGCGCTAGCCGATTGACTATATTGTCACAAGTTTGACTCCGAAAGACCAAGTGTATTCTTAGCGAAACTGAAAGTTAGTTTCGGGACTCCGTCACATGACTGTCAGCTTTACAGACTTCTCTAAAGGTGAGACAAAAGATTTATGCAGCTCTCGAATATTATTTACTCCATTGTATAAACTTAAGTGAAAAGATGGCCACTATTCTAYACAATTTTTGCTTTGATTCGGTTTGGGCAACTGTAGCTTAAAAAAATAGTAAATTCATTGTTGTCAGTACATACGTTGAACGAGAACAACGACAGTTTACTGATCTTTACTGTTGACCACSTCGATAAAAGTTTTCCTAGTTTGGATATTGGTATTCTTTCTTTTCGGTATTTCTACAATACTACTAAACTCTTTCATTTACATTGAGAGGAAGTTTTCACCTGTTATAACTGTTATTCGCGAAACTTTAGATTCTTCATTGTGATATATCAAGTATGACAGAGAGCATTTTATACCCATGAACTGAAAAACATCGCTATCCGTTAGATCCACAGCGTGTATCCTGACCCTTCATCAAAACAACAAGTMTAGAAATCTCTCGTATCCATACTAAAAAAAAGATAAAGTTCGCTGAGTTAAAAATGCATATCTAGGTGCAGTCGTATCTCAAYGCGATAAAACACGTTACTTTTAGCACGATCAATAGGCAAAGCGTGCACACATTTGATAGATGATTTATCTTTTTTTTTTCAATGTGGGTAGAGGAAGTGGTTTTCATCATTGTGCTACAGTACCGCTGGCTTGTAAACATCACATGATTTTCGAGCTCACGCAAGATTTAAAGTGTATCCTCCAGAGTTTAACACATCATTATAAATATCAACAATTTAATGTCAATCAATAGTAAATGTACAAGGAAACTAGCTAAAYAAAATAAGATCAACGTCATGGAAACCAGTGAGACATTGAAAACATTTATGTTAATGTTCATATGTAATATAGGAAAAAAACTTACAAATGACATTTGAAAACTTCTGGTCGAATATTTTCTCCTTTACTAGTAACTGACAGACTAATTTTCAAATGAAACACTTTAAAGTTTTATGAAAAGTAACAAAAGAGTTATTTGAAAATTGGCTTGAAAGACCAAAATGTTGTAGTAGAGCTCAGGAGTCGATTATAAGTAGGAGTGGTCGTACTTAGAATGTCATTACTGATAGATATCAAGCCTTTATATGGAGTTAAGAATGTCAATTTTTGACTTATGTTAGAATTGTCACTACACTGTCATTTAAGTAAAGTGGGCTATTGGCCGTGGTATTTTAACCATTAGCAATAATAACGAGGCATACAGGTCAGCTCTCTTTTATTCCTTATATCAGTAGAGAATAATTTTGTCCGTTTTGTGATATTTTCGCCATGTTCTTTAAGGCTGGATTAGACGGCACAGCTTTCGCGTGCAATCATCGGATGCAACTGTTTTTACARTATAGCTACATCTCAGTTTCTTAGTGATTCAAAATAATTGTTCATTAGCACCACGACAGTTGCGGGCATGWTGTAAGGGGGACTTACACTTGCAGGGCTTTAAAATATCCTCTTTCATCAAATGATCGGTAACAAGACTGAACGTATAACTTATGAACAATAATAGTAAAATATAGTACTAATGCAGTTAACAAAGTCTTTCAATATCGTATTTATATACGACCTAAAATTTCCTCACGCTAATTTATATKATCAATATCGAATATTAACAAATAAGACCAAATACCAAGAGGTCACGTACACGTTCTATATGTAAGTATCATGGCAGTGGAGTGAAAGTTTATGCTCAACTCAAAAATTCATACAAAAAAAAACTAATAAAATTAAAGCATAAAAGTATCAAACTCTGCCGGTAGAGATACAGATAGAAATTTCCAGACAAATGTCATAATGAGTTTTTCGTTTCAACGCGTGCCTTCTTTCCCGCCCATTTTCGACCATTACTYTTTAAAACCACTTGTTTTAATTTAGATAAAATGCCTAACTTAATAAAAGAACAAAAAAAGAACTTTTTTAGCGATTGTAATGTAATTTGCAACCGCTCATGAACATATATATCAGTTTATACAACCTTGAGTTTCTGATAAAGTGAGTTTAGCTGAGTTTAAACAGTAGATCTCCAAGGTGACTGAATTTCTTAGTAACGACCGCCTTCAATGTGGTTTTATATAAAGCCATTGAGTTTGTTTCTAGCAACTGAATTTCTAGAAAATTTGACGAATTGATTGGTTGACCGCTTCAACGCACCAGTATCATTCAGATATTATCACTAGGATATGGATATCGGACTTTGTTAGGAAAGTGTGCCGCAAACGTTTTAAATGAAATTCTTTGTCGTTTGTAAAACAATGTTTTTAATGATATCATGCAAGGCAGTCGATTAACGTTTACTTGAGGTAAGTCGGTGAAATATTTTTGGTAGTTCATACAACTTACTGTGTATAATTATTATCCCTGCGTCATTCTATTCATTTAAAGGGGTGACTATTTTGTGGTTTCGGTTCTTTTAAAATGGTTTCTTTTAAAACGTCGCGCTGAGTTTGTACATTTGTACAGCAGATCTTGTTAAGGCTTAATTTGTTCGCGGTTTTTGGTCTTCATTTCTTCGACGGGTGTTCGGATGTCCTCATTTATCACTGTTGCTGTGTTACCGCCAGTCAGTYATGTTCGAACTTAGCATTTCAGAGTAAAATAGTACCGACCTCTACTAGTATATCAAAAAAACAATGTTGTTATTAAAACTGATGAAAACTAAATAGGAAAACAAACGGCGTTTCATTTATCTTTTTCAGTAGTATTTACTCTAATTCGCCGAATTATGTCTTCTTTTGAGAGCCATAACGATCGCGTGCCACTCCCCGTAACTTTTGAAATATTCACAGAAACTAAACTTGATTTGACTTTACTGTCACTGTCGTCACTCCACTGATCTCATTATAAATTGCTATGTTGAGAAATTCTCAAAATTGGCTAATATATTTACATCGTGAAAGCCGATAATCTAATGGTATCCACTGACGACAAATCAATGGAATTCTGGTATTAGCTTGATCTCATTGCTTATTTTAGTTTGTGTCTGCAAATGTTTACTTAATTTACCATTCAGGAAGAGGAAAACGCAAGTCGTTTATCAGAGCGATCGCGGTGCTCTGAAACGAAATTCACGCCAGGAAATCGGTATCAGGAGCATTCCGCTATCGTGATGCCTGGTGTTAGTTAATAAGGACCGTGCAATAATCACGAGAACTTGCCGAAGACGATACATAACACAGGTGTAAGACTGACAAACCTCACAGAAGTGACGTAATTTAGTAGTCATTTTGACAAATCAAAAGTTACCGGGATGTTTTACATCAGTGTCATTAYCCGTCAGTACAGTTCATATTTTTTGATATTTATCTTGTATTGTTAGTTCATACTCACTAATGCTTTGAATCGGAATTCCATGAGAATTAAGTAAGATTTCGTTTTTGATACATTACTAGTTTAACGAGCTCAATCTGCTAAAGCACGTTTGTTGAGATGAAACCACAAGAACATGAATCCTCAGCACCTAGACAAAAATTTGGGTATCGCAGCCATGTTGTTTTGTAATGGCAGCCACGATGTAGCTTGCAACAACTAAGCGGTGGCAACCTATACCTCTAGAGACCAGTAGCCTGCCAGTGGGACTCTAGGGGACTGGGAGGAGGACGGGCTGGGGCTAGATCTGTACAAAATAGTCACTGAGAACTGTTAGCTATGGAAATGAAAGTATTTGACTTAGAAGGAAGAAACATGACTTGCAATCCTGATATGAATGATAAAATATTTCTCATAGCTAGAAATGGAGCTTTAATAGTCATGTGACTTATAGTCCACCGCTCAAGCTCATTCGGGTCAAACATCACTTATCTAATCGTCCCTAATCCCTATCACAGTACATTGGASCGACCCTCACTATTAGCAAAATGGCAGATGATTACCTCTGATGCACACTTATCTTCAGTAAAAAGCACGTTTTTATAGTCATAACTTATTAGCATGTCAAAATGTCCCAAATTGCATTCATTTGTATTTCTCACTAGGTTCCTGCCGGGCTGAATAYAAAGCGGTGTTTTCAACTGTGATTTTAATATGTTTATGCAAAACTTATAACACTAAAAGTTTCCAGTCGAGACATTTATCTTCAAATTAACGTTTCACTTTACCGACCTTCACCAAACTGAACTCTGGATGAGTTAATGGTCATGTGGTGTGGTAACGCTATCCAATGGTAGTCGACATGGCCCATCGATAAATGTACACAGATAAACATTACGAAGACAAGGACTTGCTTTTAAGTCCATTGCATTGTTAGTGGTGTCCATTTTAACTTTGCATTTATCATCGTTGCTTTGCTATTTATATCCAACATTTTTACGTTTCTTTTATAGTTGCTTTGGTGAAATAGTATCCGCTGGTGCTGTCAAGTCTTGCTTACAATCAGCCATCACAACCGAAATGAGTGATGAGAGATTCCATAAAGTAAGTTTGCTTTCAATAGTGTGTTTTATAAGAGTTAATGACGTAATTTAGATTACAATTTGTCAATGTGTCACACATTTAATGACTAACTCTACTTTTATACTTTATGTGCTTATCTCTAGAGGAATGCGTTATTATTGACATTTGGCAATCGAAATACCAATGCTTAGCACGACATGCAGGGGCATATATGACCCATTTTAAACATAATATACAAATATATCAGGTTAAAAACCTACAAAAATATTTACAAAATAACAAGTGCTAATGTTATACCATCCAACAAAACAACTGCAGTGTTATATTTGTCTGAAATAAATATTGATGAGCCAAATAAATGTGTTTTTTATTATTAATGACATAAATTGTTATATGCCAGGGACCCCTAGGGATTATTAAGCAAGTGCACAATTAATCTCGCAAAGAACTCTGGTTAGCCTCATGCAACGTCTTGATCTTCAAAACACCAATGGTACCGTGGCTGGGATCTCTCAAGAGGATCTTTATAGATCAACAAACTCGCTTAGAAGTTCCAAAAGATCGACGAAAAATTGGCGTGTTGTACCTTCTGATTACGAGCCACACGTTCGTACTATGAATGGAATACCCAAGCCACCAAAAACTACCCCATCGTCCAACTCTTTGGATCCAAAAAATTTGGTCGCTGCCGCTACATTACTCGGCAGTGTGGGATCCCTAAAGGCAGCAGAAGTCACCGAAAGGCTGTCCAATAAAGAATCTTCGTCGCCACTAGATGAATCCTATCAGGGATTTGATTTTCCTTTTGAGAATTTGATTTTTGAAGGAGGAGGGAATAAAGGGATGGCGTATGTAGGAGCTTTGCAGGTAATTATCATTAGTTAAAAACAATGTCAAACAAAAATCTCTCTTGTTATGAACTGAGTTGACATTAAGATACACGTAACATTAGGAGAGGTTTATCGATGCGAAAAATCATTATTACAATACTCAGTTGCGCTGTTGTTTTCTTTGGGCATGTTCTTTGTGTCAATTTAGTATCGGAATGTGTTCATTGCTCAAAATTAATATACACATGGTAGATCTATTTGACGATCGACGTTTGGTATAAATCACAGAAGATTTCCTTACGGACCTTCCTTACCATAAATCAGGATTTAAAGACGGATATCAATGGAACATTTCATCAGCAGTTTGACACATTTGATATTTCTAGAATGTTGATTTCGTGATTCTTTTAGAAAATCATTTAATATTCTTTATCCATCAAGTTATTCAACACTTTATACAGAAAGATTATAGACTAATTGACGTTTGGTTTATACATCCAAATTACCGGTAGTTTGTGACAATATCAAATAAAGCATTCTTGTATTTCCACAAGAGGAAAAATTATTTATTAWATTGACGGTTTGTTGATTAAAAGTAAATCTTTTAAACGTCCGATTGTTTGTTCAAATTCTTAAGCTGCTCTTAACCTTGAAATTGCAATTATAATAAAGTATAGGAAGTTTGGCTGAACGTATAATTATTCAGTGTTKTTGGACGTTGCTATGCAATTAATATATGTGCATGTATAGACACGCACCATAAATACGTCATTTGGTATTAAGCTAAACTATATTCAATAGTTACATAACCGTCCAACAATGAAGCTTTTTACTGTAATATTTTTCAGATTTGGTCTAATACCTAGTATTACTCAMGTTGTGCCATTCTTTTAGGAAACTAGGAAAATAAAAAAAACACGTTTTTTTTAGGAAATTKACTTGTAACTCGAAAACCTCCAGTAGTTCCCATTTTAACTGAGATGTACATGTATTTCTATTAATTTTGTAAATTAATAATACTCCTCTTTAATACTCCTCTTTTCAAAAGTGTTGACCCAAATAAATATAAATAAATAAGAACTTGAAAATTAAGAAATTTGAAATGCATCATTGAAATTTATGCTCAAGYTGAATAATAAGTCAAAATGTCTAGTTTTTTTCATCAAATATTTATAAATCTACTGACTTCTTCATACTTCTACATATAAATTTGGTCTTTTGAATATACTCATTCCATGCAGCTATATTGACTGTATTGAATATTTTATATTTGCATGATATAGCATGTGTCTCATGACAAAAAATATCACTCTTGAAAAGTAAAAAGTTTACCTTACGAAAAAAGAGCCAACTTCTTTTTTAAGTAATGAATTCCTTATATTGTTTTGTGAGAGTAATGTTGTGATTTGTACGCGATGGGGAATCTGTTATTAAAATAATTTGTTATTGTACTCAAAACAAAGGAGAATGGAATGTTGTCCATTAGTGCCTAGGGGAGGGACAGGAAGACCATCCCTTGCAATGACTCTGCAGGAGCCCTTTGTATCAGTGATATGAATACAATCATTATTACTATAATAAGAAAATGAAATGTTTTGAATATTTATATTTATTTKCATATCACTCCTATCTTGTTAGGTTTTAGAGTCTGCTGGTGTTATGAAGAAAATAAAACGGGTTGCTGGGGCAAGTGCTGGAGCAATTACTGCAGCACTTATTGCAATAGGATTTAATTCTCAAGAACTGAAAGAATTCTTAGATCAAGATCTCAAAAAAATTCTTGTCGGTAAGATTAATGTATATTGTTTAAGAAATATGAAATATGAAAAGACACACAAGCAATTTTATAAAATGTTTCTGTCTTTTCTGAGCAGCAAACCATGTCATTGTATTTAATGACCATGAAATAATACTAGAAGTTACATAACGACCAAATCATATACAGACTTCAATTTAGGCTTAGATACTTGTCCACAGTTGCTTGTCTATTTTTTCCACTTCATATAAGATGATACCATAGATCACTAGTGAGCATGTTTGTCGTATTTGAATAATTATTTTTATGAGTGAGTAATGTTAATGGTATAGAGATGAGTGGCCATATATATACGCTTGAGGATAGTGTTTTGTTGCCACATTGTAGTGTATCACCATAGTTATTGGGGAGCAAGGATGGTCGAGCAGTTAAAACGCCGGTCTATCACCGCTGTCCTGGTTCGATTCCCGGTCTGGTACTATATGTGATTTGAGTTTGTAAGCTGGTTCTCTTCCTTGCCCCGAGGGTTTTTCTCCAGGTCCGCTGGTTTTCCTCCCTCTGTCAAAAACTAGCTGAGAGAAGTGTCATGTAGTAAAATAATGAATGCTGAGGTAGTGAGTGTGAGTGAATATATAGAGGGCCACAAGTTTATTAGTCTAGAGACTATTACGTGCTACCCTCTCAAAATGAAAGAGTTATTTATATATAAGATCGCACAAAATACTAGGAAGGCTGTTTTGTTATTTATTAAAATGTGCAATTTACACAGTCACATATTTCATCAATATATTTTAAAAGAGTTGTTTGATTTCTGAATTATAGATCACAATTGTGGGTATTGCAGTCTTTTACCAAACCTGTTAAAAGGTTTTGGATGGAATCCTGGCAAGAAGTTAATAAAGTGGTTTGGAGAACAACTGAGAGAAAGAGCTGGAGATGCAGATGTTACATTCAGAGAGGTAAGCAGTTAGCATATGCGTCTGCGCATGTCTTCCAACATGGCGGCCACGAATTTCTTGGCTCTCGTAGCAATCATGTTTACTGCACTAGCGTTCGCTCAGACACGTGTCTTTAATCGTGAACTCGAAGATAAATTATCTATTACTAGTTATCTTTCCTCTAAATGCCAAGTTAAGGCCTTCTTAATCACCAAACGCCCAAACTTCAGGATAAATATCTTCTCGAATCAWAGTTCAACTCTCGTTGTGTGTAGCCTTTTACTACTCAGTGGTGACATCTCTATCAACCCTGGTCCTACGAAATATCCTTGTGGGATTTGTAATAAGGCAGTTAAGTGCAACCAACGCGGGATTCAATGTGACTTCTGTGATGTTTGGAACCATATTCGTTGTCTAAATATGAACACTCATATCTATGAGGCACTTGCAAATTCATCTTGTGTGTGGGAANAGCAAACCCGCGTGTTCCGGACAATATATGGATATGTATATTATGATATTTAGATATTTAGACAATTCTCATAATTTTTGCAAAAGGCTGTATTTCTTGTTTGTAAATATATGTATATATCGGCTTGATGCGAAAGCGTTGTCGATCAATAAACGTAGATGTAGACATATCTAGCATGCAAGATGTATTAACACCATACCAGTTTGGGCTACCTATGTTCTGTTTTTCATTATAACACAGGAACCCTCATGAAACTCTCTTATTGTAATTTTTTTTTTATTCTAGGTTTTGGAGCGATTTGGCACAGAACTATGTGTCGTTGTCACTAACCTTAATCAAATGTCAGTGGAATATTTCCATCCCAAAACAACTCCAAACACACCGATTAGAAGAGCCATAAGAATGTCTGTGGCCTTGCCTGGTAAGAAAGTTATAAACCCTTCTTTTATTATTTTGATTCTTTGTCCAGTAAAGAGAGATATGTTAAGATGTATTTTTTGTAGGTGTTTTCCAGTGTGTTAGACAGATCAATAACGATTATGAAGATGTCTATGTCGACGGAGGACTTCTTTGTAATTATCCCATACATGCCTACGATGGTAAGTTGTCGGGCACATCATCGTACAGYTGTTTTGTTTGGGGTCTTTTTAGCATATAAAAAAGTCTGAGGTGATGGCGAATGAACCCGAGTTGTAGTATCGTTGCTCCGAGAGTTATAGCAATAAAAAGGATTAGTGTAAACAGTGAAAATAGGGTGAAACAACCTTCTGACGTTTCTTATACGTTTTTTCACCTACTTTTGACACAATTGTTTCTTTAGAAACACCGATGTAGCTCACACTAGTTTACCGCTAGTTTCCACCAGTATTAATTAATCACGTTTTGTATTGTAGGTTGGTGGTTGTCAATGGACCCCAAACACACATTCTTCAAGAAACTACAACCCCTTGAAGATTTTGCTCGACTTTTTGAAAAATCAGAAAGATTCGGCGACTGGAATCGTAAAACATTGGGAATTGTATTGGTTAGTTATAATATCGGCAACGTACCTTGTTTTAGTGCTTTATTTCATGACAGTTTCATCATAAAATTATTTTATCTTGGCGAGTGAATTAGAAGGCGAGCGCAGAAAAAATGCACCGCGCACATTTTTTTCGCGCGCTTTTCCAAAATACTAAATACCCAACCCCTCCCCCTCAGAAGACGAAATTCTATAGCGATTTTAAGCATAAAAAAACATTGCTAGAATATTGAAAATAAACTACAACAACAAAAGGACTAATTAATGTTTCAATGCACCATAAATGAAAACAAACCAAAAACTCAGGGTTTGCATACTTCTTTTAGTATTCCCACACCGAGACAGAATTAATGAAAACACTACTTTCTGAACGAGAGGGCAACAAGCCTCCTGAACCACCAAATACAAAGATTGCACGGTGAGTACACAGGAAGCACAAACATTAAACATACAATTGTCAATAGCACCTATCTATCACAAATTCCCTATCCAGCGGATGTGTCGCCTGGCGTCTGAATAGATCTCAAATATATCGTTTCCATGCGAGCTAGAAGTCCTATGAACATCATGATATCGTGGGTTGTTTGAGTCAAGTCTCTATTTCCCTCCCATGTAGTCGTACGGATCGTTTGAATCATCTGAAAAGACCCAAGCCATCCAAGGACCATAGTTTTATAATGTGATCCGGATATTAGCTGAAACAATGATAGAGGAGGACGCTTGTATTGCATGCGTAMCGAGAAATTCAAATCAATCTCAGGGTCTGAATGGGGTTAACCGACTAGCGACAAATGGACAAAATAACTACTGACTAGCGACAAATTTGAACAAAATTTGCTGACTACCGACATTAACAAATTTACTGACTGGCGACATTTTCCAATATTCAAAGATGTTAGCTCCGTGAATACAAGCTTTTTTTATTTTTCAAGCAACTACATTCGAAATTTTCCGCGGAAAAAATAAATTTTGCTTCGGATTGGCTTGAAGTTGTGAAGAGCCACTCTAAAACTTTGAGGGGCATCCAATTGACCAATCAAGACTCAAGGATTCAATTGTTGGCATTTTAGAAATGAGAATTCTGTTGGTATAAAGCACCGTTTTAGATGCATTTAAACTTAATGTTTATCAACTTTTGTTAAATAACCGACTACCGACAAATGCCTAGAATTTTAACTGACTAGCGACAATGATGCTTGAAATTATAACTGACTACTGACATTGAGACCCCCCCCCCATTAAGACCCTGCAATCTAGCTGTGTGAAAGAATGTTCCACGATGCAACTATTAAATCCAAATAATTATCATTACTGAGTAGAACATGCTTCGCACCGTTGCCATATTTCAAAAAAATAATTTTCCGTCGGAAGCGGAAAAATCAGAAGTGGCTTTCCGATCACTGTGTGAAAAGCAAAAAAATAAGTTTTGCTGACGAGTTTAAATTCAGTGAAGACTGACCAGAAAATCGAGTCTGAAGTCTGTCTTCATTTCCTGTTTTTAGGAAATGAATTTAAATTGAAGACATGACCAGAAAATGGGGTCTGAAGTCTCATAATCTTCATTTCCTGTTTTTAGGAAGGTGCTTCTCATTCCTTTTCCGAATCCGCTCCCTAGAGAGATTGTCAATAGCTAATTTTCATTTCTTGCGGTTTATTTAATGACTGGTTTCCACTATCTAGTAGCTTTGCCAATGGCTGATAATTTGTTTCTTGTGTACCAAACCATTGACGAAGAACTGCCGCAAATAGATAACATAAAAAATCAAAACCTTTAAAAAACTCGATAAAAAATTGATTGCGATATCAATGAGAACATAATGTTTATGACGTCATGATGAAAGATATATAGGTCACCTGCCCTCCTAATCACATAAATTGGAAGATAATTCATTTGCGCAAGTTTCCAGTCTTTTTCTTGACGAGACTCCTGACGTGACGTCTAAAATTTCTGCTTTGAAGTGAATAAATAACAGGGTTTATRCTAGAATTTAAGATAACGCAAAATGCAATAATTTCTGATCTCACATAMACGTATTTTTCAATTAAGTTAAAAGATGTTAAGAGATCGACGAAGAACCAYGGAAGCCAACAGACATTGAATACAATAATAACCATCCCGAGAACTTTGGTCAGTTGTCGTCGAGATGCATAAACAACTTTACTTGTTGTCTTGTCCTTTTTGTGTTCAGTAAACCACAAATGCCTGAAAGATTAATAATTGTGATTAAGCATAGGTAACTATAGAGTAAGTGATCAAAGTAGTAGTGTACGTACGTTGAAAGAACTCTGTGTTCCAAATATTACACTAAAATGCGTTGTGGTTTGATAGCAAAATACTGATGTTTTTACACGTTTCACAAAAGTGATATGTCATTTGACAACTTCAAAGAAAKATGGATGGAATTACCAGATAAGCTGAAGCCAAGAAGCCTTTCACGGTCAACTGGAAAGTATACTAAGTTACAAAATACTCAAAAACAAATAAGCGTGAACAAAAAAACGTCTTGGAAATCCGGTCTCCTCCTTCACAAGGCAAAAGCGCTGTAAGGAATGTCTTTATAAATGTCTTTTTTTAAATTTGTCAGCTTAGCTGATTGGCTGTTTGAGTGAAGCTTTTGATGATTAAAAGGAAGTGCATTCGACGTCGATAAACTAATGGCCGTGTAAGAACCTTATGCTTTTCAATCCACATTCAAAACAACCACGAAACACGGCATTTTTGTTTTTCTCCTGAGAAGACAAGCGTGTGTCATTTGTATAATTACAATATAACAGCGCTACCTTCAATTGATTGGCCGTTGACATACCTGAAAATCTTTCCATAAGAGATAGCAATTACCGCCATAGGCAGAAGATACAAAAATATTAGCAAAAGAATTTTGTAGAATCGAGGAAAATTATCCTGTGTAAGAGCATCCCAACATGGCAACAAATCATGCTTTTGATCATTTCGCMGGGTAAAAAACACCAGAGAAGGCATTGATACTATCGCTGCAAACACCCAAATTACTGGAATAATAACTTTGAGTTTTGACTTGGTAACATTACTTCGGCTGTAGAAGGGTCTTTTGATTGCAATGTATCGCTCGAAAGCCAGTACAGTTATTGTATAAACAGACACTGCAGCACTCAAATACACAGCAGAACTCATTATTGAACAAACCAGATGACTCTCACTGCCACCATTAATTGAAATGATAAGATGTATTGAGCCACAAACCCCCAAAGCTAGATCACTTACAGCGAGATTTACCAGCAGCAACGATGTGAAATTTTGTARATTTTTGCATTGCTTTACCACTACGCATACGATAATATTCCCAATGATATTTGTAGCGAAAGCTAAACTGTAGAGAACACCGAACACATAGGATACTCCTTGACTTGTCATGGCTTCGTCAATGATCATGTGGAATCCAAACGTATTGTGTAGGCTCTGTACAGATTGTTATTTTCGAGACTCCAGTGCCAATCTGAATTTCATAAACTGCGCGAGTTCAATAGCGACACTGAATAAATGATGAAGTTCAGTACTAATTTTCTAGCGGCGTTTTCCGTTCAGGCGTTTAATTTGCCTTTTCCATGTTTACTGTTTATCATTAGCATTTCAGTGCACCTTTTAGCCTTCAATTCAGGTAATCGTTTTCAGTGAGGCGTCACAACAGTGAATTTCAGATGATAATTTTTTTTTACCAGTAACATGCATAATTACCTGGCGATCGTTGGTTGGTCATTASATAAGAACAAGGGGACAATTAAGTTGAGTTTCCAAAAATAACCTTTTGTTGTAATTGTGTGCATTTGAGATGATGTTATCTGCAATTCAATAATAATGCAGTGGTGCAAATCCAAGTTTTTTGTTTTTTTTTAGTGGCATCATTTCTAATATACCTTCATTTTTCCCTATTTAGCGTAAACAATATTTTTGATCAATTTACTCCTCTACGAGGTACTAGTCATATAGCTAGAATGATTATTAATTGCATTGTTTAATTATAATTCAAGTGTATGTATATAGTTTGAGTTATGTAAATTGACCCCCGCTGCAATTCCAAAATTGAATTGAAATATCTATCTATCTATCTATTCTTTCATTTCCTTTTTTGCTCACAATTTGCCTTCGACCCAGCCATAGTCGTTTACTAAATAAGCTTTTCTCGCCTTTCTCATTCGGATGAGTCAAGGCAATCTAAAGCAAAACTGGCGACAAATTCCAAAGCTGATTGACTGAGTACTTTCATTATTCCTTAGGAGTCAATGGTTAATTGTAGAAACTATTTTGTGAGTTTAATTTCGTAAGCAGTGAAGGCCGTCCATAGACCTGTCATCGCTCTATATTTTTCTCTACTTGTACAGCGCTATCTATTATTGTAGTCCTTTTCTGTGCTATTATAAAAGGTGCATTTACTAGGGCATTTCCAACTGACAAGAAAAAAAGCAAGAGAAACTGCCAAGTATAAACTGATATGATATTCAGAAACAAGAGAAGAAGCGCCGTCGAGATTCCCCAAATGACATGACTTCCAGATGTCGACAAACAAAAACTCGGAATTTATCAGTGACAAATATTGGCTCTACATCGTGTCAGTTGGGATTGGTATAATTTATAATATCGCGTGCAGATTTTGATAATACGCGAAATCTGTTCAGTCAAATAATGCGATTAAGGATTTGTCTTTGCACTTAAATACGTAAAATATCGTAACAATAATATAATAATATATTGACTTATTTGTATTAAAGCAGAGCACAAGCCGAAGCAATAAAATATGAGTAACTTTTAATTATGGTCGAAGTACCATAGTGATGTCAGTCAGTCAGTCCCAAACATTTTTTTATTATTGTCAATTAACACAATTTAGAGAGATAGGTGATATAGGCGAATGTTCATCCGTCGAAGTGATTTTGCTTCTTGGGTGGTGTCATGCTCGACATGACGAATAACGCTTCTAAATTCTAAAAGGTCTACGTTGACTTTAAGTTCCTAAATGAAGCTTCGCCAATTTAGAATTATAAAACATTGTTGGGCGTGACAATAATTTGGACCATTCAGTTTCCCTATGGCACCGTATTTGAAGGTATTGGTGTTGTTACATGGAGATTGAAGGCGTTTGACCATCCAAAAATTGTGTTTACTGATCCAACAAAGTTATATTGCTCAGGAATTTGGGATAGTGTTAGATATAAATAATCAAACGTTTCTTGTTAAATCAGTTGCGAGTTAATGGCTATCACTTTGGCTAATCCGATTACCTTGAGGGTCACAGCAACTTACTGAAACAATACTCGGACTTCCCCGCAGCTATTTCTTATTTTTACTGTTAAATTTTCACTTACATTAATTGATCTTATTGTTTGTCGTTTTAGTCTACTCTTATCAAGTGATAATAATTGCTACAGTTTTAGCTTATGCGCAGGGCCGTTTTCGCCCTGTGCGGCCAGAGGTTTATTAAATAGCGTGTGCAAACAATATTAATGAAAATGGTCGTTAAGTTTATAATCGTGCTTTTTGACACATGTAAAAGCTATTTTCAGGTTCTAATTTATATTGTTTCGGTATCAAAGGCAAAGATTGAAGCTAAAACAGCAACAATTAACAATGCGTCAAGAGCATCAAGCGATGGTTGGAGCAGTTGGTAGATTTATGAAGGTAAACAGTAACACTTTTATCTCTTTGATTAATAAGAATCGTTATAAAACTCATTAATATTCATAAGGCAAAACACAATAGAAATCATAGCCCATGAAGAGAGTTGTATATTACATACAGATCGTCCGCTCATATTGTATATATTACATAACATTCATGCTGGTTATTTGATTCAAGTTCTCATTCATATACAATGATATCTGATTTTTTTGCGGTCCGGTACTCGGAATCGCGAACTTTGATTGGTTGGCGCGCGGTCCGGTTTTTCACGTTCTGACACTTCGCGGTATCTTAAACCAAATTTTAGCGGAAAATGATAAAAAAATACAGCGAAAAAAATTGAAAAAAATCATATTAATGCTATTTTCTGGTTTAGTGTCGGTCTGTATAGCGAAAAACTGCCTTAAATCTTMCTGCCTGTGACSCGTTGGTCCGTTCATTAAGATCTCAAGCATCTTTAAGCTCACTGTTTTAAAAAAACATATATCTCATTTCAATCATTCTCATTATCAGTTTTTTGACAACATATTGAGTCAAATTGATTATGTTTTTTCTTTGGCGTCTTTTATATTTCTAACACTTTTTCCCGCCGACTTATTATATAACTTCGGAGCCATCAGTAATGGCGTTATAAGATATTAATGGCGTTTTAAGATATTCTATTTCAGTAGAAGACCTTAGAAACATCGACACAGTTACATTTGTTATCTATTCATTTTACCAGCAAATCAGTTCAGTAGGAATCTTTGTCTTCATCAGAGAAATTAAAAAAAACTCTAATTGCTGTAAAGATCATGTAAAGATTACTTTCGAAAAGCAATTTATTTAGCCTGATTTTCAGACGGGGCCTGGGTCCTACGCTTCGGGGTGGAGTGAAGCGTAGGACCCAGGCCCCGTCTGAAAATCAGGCTACAATTTATTGAGAGGACTTGCAATATAGCAATATAGAGTAAGATCGCTTGTCTTCATGTAATACCATCGTTTATAATATGACTGAATAAAATTGTGCAATTTGATTGGCTTAGAGGAGTGGTATTTATCCCTAATAGGTATTTCATATTGCACAATTTTATTCAATCMTTTTATWAACAAATAATATCATGTTTTGTACGTGGAATTTGGGATAAAATGGGATATTACCTATACTAATACCATCGTAGATTMGAGTGGCTTTTCAATAACCCGTAAAACAGAGTATAATGGAGTGGTTTTTAACTCGAAGATTGCGAAGCAATCGAAGAGTTATTGGATAGTTATTGAARAATTATTGGACTCATTAAGTCAGTCAGTCASTCACTCACTCACTTTCCTGTAAACCTGAGCCTGCGTTAATTGGTCAAAATTATTAATTTATTCTAATTTTTTTCTAGTAATTTATTCACTAATTTTCCGTCACCGGATTCCCTGTGCTTTATAATAAAGTCGTGTACACCCCACTTACTCTTTGTACTTTTTCGGTTTATCGCACTTTGATTATTACACTTTGTTTCTTTGGTTAATGAAAGCCACCCTAATGCAAACTGCTAATGCTATCTCGCCAACACTCAAAGCTGATGTGATGACAGCGATAAAATTGAAAGTGAATCKGCGGTAATGAAGTTTATTTCCTATCTTGAATATCCTGTTTTGTAAGAACTTCAAAACACTGGGAAGTGGGTTTAAAAACTAAGCGTATCCAAGCTTTTAAAAGCCTTTTTCCTGATTAAGTACGATGGCAAATATTTGATCCACAATAACCTCTCGAATTTACGGATATTTGTTGGATAAATTGAAAACTATTTTTCGTTAATTTTTTGTTTTCTTTAAAACTAGTATATTTTCATGATAAGTGTTTTGCAAATATTTGCAGGACAAATAGAAGGAAAAAAGACTTGAACTTATCATATATACTTCTTATCTTTTAGGAACTTCAAAGAAATAATCTTGATGAGGATAGCATAATTAATCTGAGAGAACTCAAAGGTGTCTTCAAAAAGGTAATTGGATCGATTCTTTAGAATWTAGCCTGGTGTTTAAGAAGTTTTTCTAGTTCTGTCTATTCTTTGCTTGCACGCTCATCCTAGGCGCCATGTTGGGTCAAKATAACAAATATTCACTTTCGCCTTGATCAGTTGTTCTCGCCTTTTCGTTTTCCAAGTGAAGCACTTTTAATTAAAATTACTTGAGGTATAGTGTCATATAGTGTTGACTCCAATGTAAGCACACCTGTTTTACGGTCAAAACGCTTACAACAGCTAAATATACATTTTACTAGATCAGTGTAGAAAAGAAGTGAATTACTTCCATTTGTAAAACGAGGGCGAGTGTTCAGTTGTCCAAAAGCTACTTTAATATATATCAGCACTTAGATGGTAKCCAAGACAGCCCATAAGATGATATATACATCCATATAGGCCGTGCAAGACTTATAAAAGTGGGAAGTCGTAGAACAAGCGATTTGTTTGGATAACTGATACAACAAAGAGAAAATGTCTGACAAATATTATCAGTTTTCAAACCATTAATAACCTTTAGCCTACTTCATACACTGGATGATTGTCTTTGCTTTTTTTTGCGTAAATATATCAGATATATACCAGTCCGCGAAAAGTGATAATTTCTATGACTGGACAGAGAACACCCATTTTTGTACGAGCATCATGGGTTGGACCGTACAGTCGATGCAGTGTAAAACCCCATCCGTCTTGTTTTCTGTAATCAGTAATGGGTTAATGGACCACTTCGATGATATGGCATCGATTTCCTGCCATTTTGGCAGGAAGTACATACAATGATTTACATTGATTTGGCGTTAATTAAAATTCAATTCATCACAAACTAATTTTTTAAGGGAAAAAGTAATAAAATGGAAATGAAATAATTAGAACCCGAATCTCTCTTTACAAAGTAATATTTTTTGTCCCTGGACGTCCTACAATGCATTGCAATTCAGGATTCCAGAGAAAATACATAAACAGCTATTGGTATTATTTTTACGTCCAACTTTCTATCATTCTTTKAATTTGATGTGATTAATAAGCACCGCCATTACTTGAAAAAAAAAATGTTTTTTTCACTTCCAAAATGGCCGCCGTTTCGTCGAAGCAGTCCATTAAGTGTAGCTTTGTTTTTAGCCTTTAGACTTCACAAGAGACGACGCCGAACTTCTCTTTGGCTATGATGTCGATTATAGATCGGCTTTTGAAGAACTTGATACGGACGAGGATGGTGAGGTAAGGCGAACGATATGTTGTACTTGTGAAAGATTCCAAGTGAAAAAGCTCGATTTTGCCGGTGAAAATTCCTATACTTACCAGGCACCCATTCTCCTTATTTTCAGTAATTTTACTATTACTAATAATTTACTATTACTAATAATACTCGTTAATTTTTCTAGATAACTTTTCAAGAATTAATGGCTTTTATTGAAAAGAAGGGCGTCAATTTACAAACAAGATTTCTTGGATACTCGAGAAAAGAAATACGACATTTAGGAGAGTTYATTCAAACTCTGCAGGTAAGAAATATTTTTTTGTCATTCTGTGTATTTGGTCATTTCTAATAATCTTTCATTATTATAGACTGCATTATCAGTAAACGTCAAACGCGTTTATGTTGAGGTAAGTCCACTTCAATAATTATTTAGTTTTATTTATTATAAATGTCCTTATTCTAAGCAACACCCGCAGACAATTTCATCCCCCCTGACCCCCTAAATGCAATGTTGTCATTGAGCATGTTACCATAGTACACAACCATCCAAAACAACATTGTGAAGGGGGCTAAGAGGGAGATCCGTGAAAACTATAAAGCAAAAAAAAAGTTAGGGCTGGAGAAAAATAATTCTATGGTGCACAAGATATTTTGGCAAAGATTGTAAAGTATAGAAACAAGCTACATGTTTACTAATGTTCTCAGGGGACAGTTGCGCAGGGATGATTGCGACAAAAATGCGATAATTCTATGAGAGTGTATAACTACCGAAAAGGATTCTGGTATAATATAGGTACAAAGATTCATGCATCATATTAAAGACTCATGACATGATTCTTAATTTTCATTCAACAAGAAAAGAGACGTGGAAAGGACTATTGGGATTGACACTGATTACATCGAGACGAACGACTTCCAACTTGAGCAAGGCGACAAAGACTTTCTTATTGAGGTGATTATGACATGAAGTCTTTATACACGTCGATCTTTTGCATCGTCTAGTCACATGTAGTTCACAAGAAGTTTGAAAGTCTAAATCATTTGACATGTACAGATTACATTGAAACTGAAAAAAATCAAAATGTAAATAAACCTTAAAACTAGGTATTTATTTATATATAATAGGACTCCTAACCATCGAGACTATCCAATTAAGAAACAGTTGGACGAGAAAAATTCCCGGAGGACACTGCCAGCCTTAGACAAGGGCGTAGGCTAAGTCCAATTTGGCATTGGGAGGAATTAGTCGAGTCTGMTTAGTCGAGACTGTGTGGAGCTTTATTACCTATTAATTGATATCCACATATTGTTCCTAGCTGTCCAATTTAGATAATAGTTGGACAGGTACCTATTTATAGGATGAATAAGTAGAGATATAATCAAGGTAAAACTATTTTCACGGATGTATAAAATGTGGTCTATTTTCAAATGTGAGTATATCACTGTTTAGTATCCATGCAGCATTCTGATTGGCTTTTAAACTCTAGTTTATTCATGTTAGGCCGCGGTCGCATCGAGAAAAGTGAAAAAAATCAGAAAAGTTGTCTCTTTATGTTCTCATTTCATATTTAGTGTATACTACATGAGTTAGGTCATGCACTCCATCTCTTGGTCTAATTGTATAAAAATCATGCGTGATTGATTGAAGATCTTGTTATACGTCAAGTGCTTATCAATGTGTCTGTACATACAATAGTGCTTATCAATGTGTCTGTACATACAATATTTTTCAGTGTGGAAGACGGGCAACTAGGGCATTTCTACGTGAATACTTCAAGAAGCAAATTTACTCGTCCAACGAGGTTGTAAATGTTCGTGGCGCATCATCAAATAACAATGAACACTTTCCTCGAAGTCCCTCTGTCGTCTCTGAGGTTTCTGTTTGCTCAAACAGGCTTCCTCCACTTAATGAATCATATACACACGAAAAAATGAAAGAACAGAAAATGAAACAATCGCGGTACAGTTCCGCGGGTTCTTGCGGKTCTGAGAGCAGTACAACRAGCACTGGTAAAGTCAGCGTCGATGTCCCAAGGTCACCAGGCACTAAGAGAAAAAGTCCAGGCCGAAAATCACGTGTTGGTGACATGACAACGCTGCTATGAGGATTTTATAGTTTCGTCTCTTAACAAGCTTGATTTGGAAATGTTCTTTGTCCTGATTGGACGATTATTTATAAATTGCACTTGTATGATATATGTACCAAGACGTTTTCAAACTCGTCTCATTCCTCTATTGTCCATGGAGAGTAGATGTGGGAGTGGGCCCTGAGTGAAAACGAATAGTCTATGATGAATTGTATAATATAATTTTTTTGACAAAGAATTTGTTAAGAGGTCTTGTAATGTATCTTTGCGAAAGAGTTTAAATTATATATCAAGTTAAGTAGAGAAAAAAAAACAGCGGATTATTTAATCTATTCGAGTCAGTTGAAGGAATTAAATTGYAGCTTAACAAAGGAAGTTCATCATTGAAACAGGTTCTTTTGACTGGTTTTACCACGGTAGGGAGTTGATTTTTAAAACTTTCCACATTTCACCTAAATGATTCACCCATCATGTCACTCTCTTTCAAGTAAACCTCCAGCAAATGAAATTTACATGGTACAAAATTCCTAATGTTAGATTCAGCAAAAATAGCGAATTGCATATTGTAGGCTTGGGGGGAGAGGGGGACTCCGGGGTAAAAGCACCGGGGATGATGGTCTGATTTCTTAGGAGTAAAAATTCGTGAGGGTGCCAATTAGGAGTTTTTAGGAAAAACAATTAGGAAATTTGTATTATTTTTGCAATCTCTTCGGGTGCCGGAAAAGAAGAGAAAGAACACATCGATATTRATTTTCCTCTGTTTTTATTATTGGAACTGATTTAATTTAACAATATTTGTTGTGCAATCTCTCAGGGGTTAAAAACCAGTCGGGATTKTTTTGAGCTGCTTTGATGTATAAACTGTAATAAAAAAGGTGCTGATTTAATGAATTTTCGTGTAAATGCCTTTCCGTCACTTTTAACTGATGAAATTGTTTATTGGTTCACACGACCAACGCAAATGTAACCAAAAGAAAAGAAACCTTTCATTTCTCGCACTTTCATTTCTCGCACGCGTTTGGGTTTTCAATGTTTGAAGTGGTGCATTTGCAATTGCGCATTCAGTTGCGTTTCTCGTGTGAACCAGGCCGCTTTTCTTCTTGCAAAAGCACTAGTTTTCAGTTTGTCAATGCACCATAGTGGGTTTTATAAACAATGTGGACAATTGTAGTCAGCGTTGCATCGTTGCATTAATAATTTTCTTACCGTACAAGGTCACACCACATGCTGGAAATGGGCTTCCTATATTTCCAATTTCCCCAGTTCATTATTACGTCATATCAAAACATTCTATTGTTTTAACGCTAAATGGCCGCCAGAGGGTATCAGAGTGACTGTACATCAAATAAAATGTACATAAGCAATCATTTAAACATGATACTTACTCACAACACGATACACTGAAGTTCTACTCTATGAGACAACATAAATGGTTCCAAATTCCCACGTTTTGCCGATGTAAACGTACTTTGACGTCATATTGAAATAGGGCAATTCATGACGACTCATGACRCATTAGTTTTTCTCAATAAAGAACTTTAATATTTTCACTATACATAGTACATTCTTCTTGTTGGACAAGTACTTTTRTAATATTAACATATTAACAAGTACCCTTCGTAGGGTATCAAATATAGTCACTGCCAAAGCATTCATTACTTCATTGGTGAAGCGTTTAGAGTAAAATTAAGTCTACGCTGCGTTTTGTGCACATCGTTGATCCTTCTGTTATTCACAGGGTGTGTAACCACACGGCCACATTGTCTAAAAACGTAAACGCGTCCCGTGTGACTTAGTCGGCTAAAACTACATGACAGTCTGAAACTTTGGACTACACCAGCACATCTTCCAGCTAACTAAATGCTATTTACTTTTCCAACCTTCTTGAAACCTCCAGCAATTCGCCAAGAGCACTCTCAGTGACCAAAAAACTTTAGACCAGAATTCTTGTCATCGGCAGTCCCCCGTTTAAATATGGCGGTTTGGCCATGAAACCTTACAAAAACACCAATTATCTTTTTACTATAACTTTCCTTTAATAACTTTCCTATGATTTCAGCATGAAACAATTCCCAAAAAGATTATAGTGGTTTTTATTGGAATAAATAGCATGGAATTAGAGGCAGTGCTGGTTTCTATGGAAGTGAAAATCTTGCTAAATCAGCAGTACACACACTTTAACAAAAATTTACGACTCTTGAAGTCTCAATTTAATGTTCTTTTTAAGTATCTATCTATCTTTCTATCTATCTATATCTATTTATATGCTATTTATATGTTAAAGTAATAGCGATATTCTGCAGGGTTAAATAATCTTGCACTAAAGAAATAAAGACGAGGTTCTGTTGAAGCAAAAAGATTCTTAGTAGTTTCTCCAGAGCCTTGACTTCAATTCTTTTGTGCGTTGGTTGAACAAACAGAATATCGAAAGTTGGATATCTAAGCGTTGAAATTCAAATTAGAATCCGTTCAACTAACTGCTAGTGGTTTTGACAGCTTTTTTTGACAGCTTTTTTGCTAGTGGTTTTTGTTTTCTGCGCTCTAAGTGTAATTACATTTTGAAATAAAATAAAGATAAATTATAAGAATATATTATTGTTCATCAATGAGAAAAACCCGTGAAATAGTAACGCACTAATTCCTTCGTYTTTCTTCTTGTGCATTTGACAAGTGAGATGTTTTCATGGGTTTAAYGCCTTCAMACTATAATGAACTTTGCAAGTCCAGCATCAGGATTCGGTGGAGATGGACTGGGACTGAGCTAGATACAGAGTTTCTTCAACATTCCCAAATATTGGGTCATACTTCGTCGTTTTCTTATGTCGTTGTTCCCATGGCATTTGGCATACGTCRCTACATGGACACGTCCATACAACACACAAGCATTGCTTCAAAGTAACATWGGACAKCTAAAGGCAAAAATGTTCTAATTTCTCTACAAGCGTTTCTGACTTTTCCGTAAATAACTCGGTAAGCGCGACTTATTGTACAACGATAATCCAGCAATAGGTAGATGGGAACACAACGTAATATTTTCGTTCATAAAGTCATATTGTCTGCCTGCAAAAAGAAGATAAGATTTGATTAATTCTTAACGTATATAACATTRCACTCTTTATGAACAATGAAATTATTGTCCGAACTGCAGTAAATGAACAAGAACAGATTGTTCTTAAATTGTTCTTATTTCACGGCGACGATCACAATTCATTTACACACACTCTAAATATTGCTTATCAAAACAGCACAAAGGTTTATGTTGCGCGAACACGTAAGTGTGCTTTACGTACTAGCTCAACTGTGTAAGCAATTTAACTTAACGCGCCGCTGTTTTGCGTACGTGCGCGAGTACCTACTTGTATATCTATATRGACATTCTCTTTTACGCGCTGACGTGTTGCGTATGAGCGCAAGTGCCTACTAGTATATCTGCGCGCCGCCGTCTTGCGTACGTGAGGGAGTACCACTTGTATATCTATGCAGAAATTCTCTTTTACGCGCTGCCGTGTTGCGTATGAGCGCGAGCTCCTACTAGTATATCTACGCGCCGCCGTCTTGCGTTAGTGAACGAGTACCTCCTTGTATATCTATGCAGAAATTCTCTTTTACGCGCTGCCGTGCTGCGTATGGGCGCGAGTACCTACTAGTATATCTATGTAGCTATTTGTACCAGACTGTTGTTCTCTCGATTAGTCTGTTTCAGCTTTTTCCGTCTCTTGTGATGCTCAGACTTGCAAGAATCTTCGTTGTTGGCGGTAGTGTGATGGTTTGGTGTCCTGCGTACTCGACGGCTGGGACTTTTTTGAACTAATTCCTCTGTATTAAGCCATGGATGGTTAAGACATTCTTCAACCGTTGGTCTGTCTCTATAAACACAAAGCTACGAGTTAATGCATAGTAATACATATTTTTTTCGCTCAGATCATTATCATTATCACCACTACCACCATCACCACACCATCATCACCACACCCATTATCATCATCATCACAACCATCATCATCAAACCGGATAGTGATTGATTGACAGCTGTCACGACTCACATGACCACAGAGCAAAAGCTCTAAACTTATTCAAACGTCGAAATACTCATGAGTTTGTTCCATTGCAGTATTTCCTCCATAGAAAAACCCCAAGATTTGATGAGTTATATTGCGGCCTATACGGAACTGATTCTGATTTCGAAGATCGATTTGGACGTAAAACCGTGGTTCATTCATTTTTCACATCATTCAACTGCTCACAAAATATGCACTACATGTATTAGATACAAGGACATGTATTATTTTTAAGACTTACGCTGGATTTCTCTGCAGGATTTTAGCGATGAAATCCTGAGCAGTGAATGAAATAGATCCAAAATGGCTGTCAGGAAAATCCATGGCGCACAACGATACATTGTAGCACGTTTCCTGYTTGTCTTCCCCAGCAAATGGCGACATCCCGGTTAACCTGTACAAAGAATATCCTTTACTATACATAGAAAAGCTCTCATAGTAGATCTGATGGCYAATACGGTCGCCATTTTGAATTACAAATTATGGGATGTCCTGAGGACAAAAAAGTCTTGAAATTCTCTCATGRTGAAGAAAATTATTTTCTTTTCCCGCCACMACTTTACGCAAACAYCSAAGTGTGTTGTCCTATTGTTTAGTCATAAGCTRCACAGTCAATAAATGTCTTGCTAATTGTTCCCTCATTACAGCCAAGAGATTTTCGTATGACTATGCGAATACACGGCACTTTTGAGCAAAACCGTGGTGTTGTATTCTTGAATCACCATTTTCATTTGGTTTCATTACCAGGCGAGGTTTCCTGRCCGTGGTGTGTCGTGTCCKTGCTGTGGTCCGTACCTCAGTCTTACGAAATCAGTGCAATTTAAGATGGCGGTCGTACTCCATATCGATCGGTAAAAAAAAACTCTTAAAAATGATTAACCCGCTGATATAAAGTTATAAAACATTTACTTACATTACATATGCAACTACGCCAATACTCCTAAAAAAAGAAAAAAAGAAGTTATAAAGAGGGAATGTTTTCCAATATAATCCACGAGTTCCCCATTCTGATAACATTGATTTGAAAAATTTCTTGGAAAACTAAGAGACAAAAATGAAGGTAAGATTAAGAAAGCGGACAATGTAAGTTAGTAATGTGGTCTCAGTAAAATATGAATGATCTTTGAATGAGTAACAACCCAAAAGGATTCTAGTATAGTATAGTATAATGACGTCACCAAGGTAAAGTCGGGAAAACTGACTCAATAAGTTTATCATAGAAACAATTTGAAACTCTTACCAGATATCACTAGGTTTGCCTACAGGTTCGAACTCCAAAATTTCTGGCGCTGAAAAAAAGATTTCAAATGCATGAGATAACACATTTTTCATAGAGTTGAGATTGTCTAGTGCTTGGAATAGCAAGTTCCAAGTTCACTGAGATATCGGTCTCGCAGGAGTGGATTCGTTTCACAGATCAGTTGATGCGACATTTAATTAAAGAAGTTHGATCTCTTTCTCTAGTACGAAAACTTATCATAGTGTTGACGATGTCTATTTGCGTCTCGCAACGTGTTTGTATTGCGCATCGTTTTCAAATAGATAGAAAATTACAAAAACGCTGAAACTTTTGGATTAAAAATACGAAAACGCAAAAAATGCTTCCATTTTGAGGAAATTCTGAAATGTTTTGTATCGTATTTACTTTGTTCACACAAAACCGCTAAGAAAACGAAAGAATTACAGTAAAAATACGAAAACACCTGCTCACCCAAAAACGTCAAGAAAAGCCAAAGACTGAAGATGGCTTCACTCACGTGATTTTAACATGCTTGAGCATGACAGGAATCCATTGCATGATATCTTACCTACATATTCAGGTGTTCCAACTATCAGACAGATCTGCTCACCAGGTTTGATTTTTCTAGCGAGTCCAAAGTCAATGATTCTGATTTCCGGGTAAAGTATCTCGGTCATCAACAAGATGTTATTAGGCTGCAAAAGACAAAACAAAAATCAACAATTAATAATTTATAATACCACATTTACAAGAAAATTGAACTGAATAAACCACATTTACACGCGATATGCATTAYAAGTGTTTGTCTTAAATCCGTGAAATGCACTTTAGCTTATTATGCCAGTATTACGATTACACTTTGATTCTTTTGTATTCGGTTGCATATGTGTCAAGGTGAATTATTATCATTTTCATTATTTTTTGATCATATTTTATTTCACGGGTTTAAAGTTTTTCTAGTTGCAGCTCGAGGTGTTTTGAGAAACACGTGAAATACAGCCGTATTAAACTATGTTGCGCAGGTCTTTTCRATTGTAGTTTCGAGGTATCACACGTTCTTAGACTTTTGCGGGTTTGAAAATCTTTAGTGCAACTAAGATATCTTTAATACGGCCGCCATCTTGAATTTCATAGTTTGTCAATTGTTTCTGTAGAGACAAGTCGAATACCGAGACATCTTATAGAAAAGGTATCATCGCTCTGAAAAGTATTTAATGATATAAATCGATTGAACTGTCAAAAGAAAACACATCTGATAGCTTTGAAATAATAAATAAAAAAATCTGGAAAAAATTGCTACAATCCTACAAAGCATTGATTTGTTTCAAKCAAATATGCCCTCGGCCCCTGGAAYGGAGTTCAATAATTCAAGATATCACATCCATGACTGCACAAATAACATTATAAAGAGAAGATGCAATATTGTTTTTTTTTTCTTGGTATAATGTCTGAAGCGATTTACTTGAGGTCAAACCAGGCACATCTGTTGTCCAGTCTTAATGGAGTCGCGCGCGTYGTTAAGTGAAAGGTTCTTGTTTAAGTCAATCGGATAAAAATAATGAGAACATCGGCTTTGATGGTACTAAATCTTCTCGTACTTGTAYTAATCCAGCCGGAGTCACACAYATKAAAGACCTTAAAGCGACCACACTACATTCAGCTTGCATTATCGTTGAGWGGATTTAGTGCTAGCGTTAGTTCTGCGCAGTTAAAGGCAGAAAATTGTTCTTAAAATAGCACAGATAAAAACGGTAAATTCAACACTAGTTTTCCAGCAAAGAATAAAACGTGTCTTATTAGCATGACCTTACATATCAGTAAGATTATCTCAGATAGTTAAACCTCTCCATTGAGCTGTGTTTTTGTTGTGTAAATGCTAACCTTTGGCTAGACATCAAAAAGACCCCAAAGAAAGCAAAAAAGAAGCAAAACAAAAAGCAAAACAAAAAACAAACAAACAAAAAACAGTATGCAATGAAAAATTGCTGCACGTTAATAATTTTATATAAAGATATGGAGATTTATTGAAACCGATTTAGCCAATCACAAACGAGAATGCATATTGAACGGAATCATAACATATTTTTTATTGGTAATTACTCATTATTAATTATCATTGTTTTTAGATATAGTTAATTGTTATAGATCGAGTTCCTCTCTTTCCAAACTTAAAATAATATGACTTACAACCTTTTTAAATCGTTTGCAAATGGTTGCTCATATTTTTGTGCTTGTCTAATATCATGAATCCTAAAGATGTTACACATTTATCCTTAATGTTTCCACAACCCTTCCTGCGTCGATCCTGCGTGCGCTGTAGTTTAGTCCCCAAAGGCATTCAACTATGCATGTGTCAATGTTCGCTAAAYCTTTCATGGGATTCTGTACTCATCACCTTTAAGCTGTGACGAGCAAGTTTTGATCCAATTTTAGCTATSGGAGGCAGCTGGGTCAACAGATCGTTGACATCGAGCTCGTTTCTCATGAATGCGATGACCTTCTTGTATTGACGAAATATTGTCATTTCCTGACATTTCCTATTCTTGTCGGGAGTATTTACGACTCTTGATGTAAAAATACTTTGCAAGACAGGTGCAGAAATCTGATTGCAAGTGACCATTTGCAAACGATCCACGAATAACCACAATAACTAATCAATAATTTATGATAAGCACATGGTGGTTGAATAGACAAAGAAAGATTCATAAGTTAATAGCGATGAATGATTAAATATTTACAAGAAAATGAACATGATAAAACCCATAAGTAAACAAAGTCAATAACACCACAAAATATAAAGGAAAAAAGAGATTATAGATAGTGYGATTTTCATTAAACCCTTGCAACAAAGTGAAAGAGTCAAAACGTAATTTAAAGAAAGAGAAAAGTGAAAAATTAAAATGTAGCAAAGTATACTACACTATATTGTATTRACGTGTATAGATATTACACTAATACACCTTAGTACGCTTTAACTACTACATTAATTACATCGACTTATTTGACTATCACACTTTAATTGATAGTCAAATTTTAGTTCACGGGTTTAGTGTCATCACTCTAATGAAAACCGCCACATCTTTTGTTTTTCATAATTCCATAATTCATTTCATATAAATTTTTTACAATTTTTTAAAAAGATAAATTTAACACCGTAAAAAAGTAGGAGAAACGACTTGTTTATTTTTAGTATATTATTTACCTCTTATTTCTGTAATACATTGTTTTGGACTTATGTAGATAAATAGACTATTTMACGATAGATGATTAACAATAAACAAATCAGTAACCTAAATACATTTAGTTAAATCAAATCATGGAGTATTTAGTCGGAATCCMTGTTTAAGATGTCAATATGAGAGTGCACAAATATTGCGAAAAAAGTGAATAAATGAAAATGCAGATTTTTGGATTCCATTTCAAGTTAGTTTTCCCATTTCAAAAGCCTGCATTCCCCAGACTGTCGTCAAACTACTCRATCAATTGTATCACAGCACTGAAAGCCGTTATATCGCTATACCTCGACTGTCAACTGCTACCGCAAGTCTAATCCMAAACCACAACTGATTTAAGGGCATTAAGAAACTTTTAAAGMTCAYTAGGAATCATAATGATTGGCTGAAGAGAGTGATCCAAAAAAAGTAACACGAGCAAAATAATTAAAGAGACCATTCGTATACAACAACAACAACATCAATAACAACAAAGTCATTGTTATCAACTTGAGAGGAAAAGTTGCAGCMAGCAAATTATCATCAGCATCAAAATGAACTTAAAAAGTTTGCATCACTACAAAATACAAAACCGTGTYACAAGRATTCACGCAGCTATTACATACTTGCAGTTATGAATGTTCATATAAATAATCATTATTGTCGAAGAAAGTTCGCCCCTCTTTGTTACTATTATTAAATTACAGATAAACTCACGGGGAATTGGTTCACWTTATTGGGTTATTCATAGCCTCAGGCTGTTCATCGCTGTGATGTCTGCATTTTTGTTTAGATAAGTTCAGGCATATGGTAAAACATACAARAAATAACCACTACAGTAGCCTGCCGGTTGAAAACGTTATTTATTAATATCAAGCGAATTTTTAAGTCAATTAGATATTTGATTATGTTGACTCTCATTGGTAAAAAAGCGTTATTTCACTGTCAAGAGAATAGTAAACCTATACAATTAAAGCAATAAAGAATGGTTTATTATGGTTTATTTAGGACTTAAAAGGCTTAAACGTCAAGAAGAGTAAAAGAAATTAGAAAGAAGAGAATTATCCAAGTTCAATGACGAAAACCTTGTTTCTATATCAAAAACTATTACCATTGACAATGTTTGGGCTGTTGTCAAAAATTTATTATTTCATTTGTATTTCCAATACGGATTTTATCTTTCTTCTTACAAATGTTCGTTTTCTTTCAGATATCAATAACTGAAAAATACCGAGTTGCTCAGAAACTAGCGCTTTAAATACTAAAACTTTGAACATCAGTAGTATTTCAGACAGCTTGAGGCAGACAATACATACATCAATCGAGCTGGTTTCATAGTTAAATATAGCCTTAATTTGCCTTGGGTAAGATTTCATTTGTTGCCATTGATATCTAGTGTGATTGACTTCCAAGTTTTCCGGCTTACGTCCTTTTTGCTCATTTAAGCGAACGATGCTCTGTTCTTCCCATTACTAGTCAAGKCGATTATTCGCCAGACGATCATTACATTAAATTCCTGGACCTTAATTTTAATGAAAAACYGTTATTTCATTAAATATGAGCTTATATTTGCCCATTTAATTAAGAAGTACTTTCCGATGTCATCAACAGTAGTTTAATCCTTGGGAAACTTGAATTAATTTGTTGTCTGCAAAGTTGAACTATGTACATCTTGTATTGCCAGAGAACATTACCTAGATTCTTCACATAGCTTGAGCAACAAACTTGACAAAGTGTACTTTAATCGGGACTTTGASTCGATTACAAGCAAACGTACTTCGAAGACATGACAAGTCCAAGATCGATCCAAGAGCAGAACACATTGCTTTCATTTTTGTCTTTTGAAAATCATGACTTTGTCTTGTATGAAATAGTAATTTTTTTGCGTACCAACCAAAACTGCAAATTATGAATATGTCACGTGATATATTCCATCAATGCCCAACTTTCTAAGAGATTTACGACATAAAATGAGTCATGATTACAAAGTTAACATGTCARGCAATCCCTTCCGACAGACAGCAAACTAAGTTGTAGCTACAGAAATATTGGCAATAGATTGTGCAAAGTCCTTGTCAGGGTCAACAGATAAAATCAACGGTTMACTTCGTATATGATTATATTTGAGCACTATGAGACGCTAATAAATTCATATCACTGTTATCAAACAATATCTATAGATTAAAATACACCTAATTTGGACAGTTGGTACTCGAAAAGCAGTTTTGCAGAGGTGACAAAAGTCGTCTTGTAAAATAGCCCATTGCGCCCAATCGAATGTATAGTTTAAATGGACAGTTAGTCGAGACTCTATAAATAAATGAACTGAAACTAAGACCTGTGATTCTGCTAGCATGCGTCAGGTCAGTACTCCACACGCTATTTTGTATAATGGTGATTTTWGTGTTGCAAAAAAACCCACATCCAACTGAGAACTCACAGCACTTTGTCTGTCTCGCCTAAAAAGCTTTGACTTCCGATAGTAAAAGAAAAATACTCAAACATATATAAGTACCACTTATAAAACTAAAACACTGATGTTGATATTCTAGAAGTTCATTCAATAATAACAGGTAGACTTGAAGAGAAAAGAGCGCAAGCCTTCTCAATACTCAATCAGAGAGGAATGCGGCGCACACGCTAGGTTTTGGAGAAGCTATGAAAAGATTTCAGGAATATTATCTGAATTTGTTGCGCAAAAAAGAGGAAAATGAAGCACAAATGAAACCTTTACAGAGAATTTTGAAGTGGATTCATATTTGGAAAGTTGATAATTAAGAAGGCAGACAAACACTTGCAGTGAAAAGCGCCGCGTGCTGACAGAAGAATGCCCGGGCTAGGAGAATATCGTGTCTTGACCGGCAATGCTATGTTTAGCTCATGGTATCAACTAGCTTTAAGGTTGTTTTGGTATGCAAGAACTGWAGAGAAAAGCCTGATATTATCTACAGAGTTTATATTTAGATGTACATTTGGGTATWACAACTGTACACCAAAGATTACCGCTGCTTTAGTAACATGATACTACAAAGAACCGAAGCAATCAATCTTGAATTAGCCATCGGTTCATTGCACATTGCAAATCAAAGTATTTGAAAACACTCTCTTTTAATTGTGCTAATGTCTCTATTCTTTTTCTCTGTATACAATTTCAGGTTCTGTGTAATGTTTTGGGTAACAGTACATTTTTATGTACAAAAAGAAAGCAAACATCCCACTCGCCACCTGTTGTTGAGGCTGTCACTTTTCACCCAAATATTGAGAGTSGCATTAAGTCTTGAAATTTGACTGGAAAAATTGTTATTAAATTAAATAATTGTAGTTTAGTGATAACGAATAGATAATATAAATAAAAACAAAAGTTTTTTGCATTTTTTGCAATACTGTACTAACAGTACTATAGTTTGTTTGAGCTGAGCAATCCCTACTGTAATTGACCCTGGGCCAATTTCGATGACATTCAAATAAACCACGAATCATCGTGTCCACAAATCAAGTCCTATTCAAACAACTCTAAGACGTCTGAATATTAACCTCAAGAACACAGGAATTTGCATTCGCCACTCAAAACAGCACCAAAGGCTACTAGATTCACGGGTTACAKTCATTATAAATTTATGACATTCACAATACACTATAGGCCACAAACCGACGCTAAGAAATGAAAGGAATTATTGATGATTYGCAGTAAATTGTCAACTTTCATATACATCCGCTAAGATTCTATAGGATTACAAACTGACAGTCATGTACAGAATCATGACAGAACGAAATCGAAACAACAACAAACATTTCAAAATAGTATCAATGAAATTCAAGCCATTGATGGCTTTGGTTTGAATTACACATAGGCACATAAAATAAACATCTATTAGCCGTAGCGCACATGTTTGAATAGATTAAATTTAGAGTGATTYTATGTTAAGGATTATTTCGTCTATCAACTGGCAATCATGTTCTACAACCCATATTTAGTCACAAACCTTAATATCTAGGTGGACGTAATTCTGATTATGCAGATGTCTCAGCCCTTCCAGTATTTGACGAAGGAGGAACACTACCTCTTTTTCGCTTCTCGAAGATGCTGGTTCATCCGTGTCCAAAGCGACGCAATGCCGATGCAAATCGCCCCCTAGAGCTCTGTGGAATTGTCATGGCAGAATAAAACAATTAAGCTTTTCCTGCAACTAGAGTATATTGATGTAAACAAGCAAAATGACTATAGAATCACTGGAAAACCACTTACAATTCTAAAATGAGAATAAGTTCGTTTCTTGTCTCAAAGACTTCGTGTAAAGTGACTATTTTCGTGTGTTGGTAAGGCGTATTGACAGCGCTTAAGACTTCTACTTCATGCCACACTTCGCTGCGGCAATCTTGGCCTTTCCTTCGTTTGCGTACGAATTTTGCAGCGAATTGTAGACCKGTTGATTTTTGGGTACATCTTCTAACTACAGCGTACTGTCCTCTGCATGMGAAAAAATACCAAAACAGAGAAATTATTCGATCGAGTTAAATAACAGCAAATAAGCATTTCTGAATCGATATTTTAGGCACGCCGCGATCGATCAGAAAAAAATATAGAAACAATCAGATCGACGCTCGTAGCAAAACGAAAGTTTTTACTCACCGGCCGATTTGYTCGTGGATTTCGTAGTAATTGTCGATCGGTTCCGTCTGTGCAACTATAGAAGACATATTGAAAACTAGAGCAATCCAGGCGCGATGTTTGCCCTCGACTGATGGTCTTGGAATACCGGAATTAAACACTGACAGAAAAGTATGTGACAACGGACCATCACACATATCTAATTACTTCCCCGGCTAACAGATGTGGATCAACCAATCGCGAGCAGATAAAATCATGGAATTTTTATCTTTTCCATGATGTCACTTCCGCTGAATAGCCCCATTGTCACGGCATTTCATTATGTACRAATAAAATATTCAGTGTTTTATTTAATCGTGTCTTTTGTTGTGGTTCTGACAAACGAGAGAGCCTTTTCCTGATTCTGGTATTTCATCGATCGATCTTTGCGATCGCTTCAAAGMGCGCGAATGTCTAATCGTACATACCATCCTTGCCGGATAATTTGCAAAGGTCTGAAAAGCAAAAATCTTAATAAATTCAATTCAAATTTATATTCCACCAACAAAAGAGTACAATTATAAGGGATTTTGTCTTTTGAGTGCATTAAGACTTGTTTTATCTCTCGTCAAAAAGCATCTACYAGCTTAAATGGCTTGGGAAAATGTCTCCTGCAAGCACTTGGTCATGAAAAAAATGTAAAGTAACAATAATTTTCTTTTTGCTTTGATAGMAGCTGCTGCATAAGGCTACATCATATCAAAACGTGCCTTGAATAGCATTACTGTCGCCCAGRATTATTCATAATATATGATGTCCAACAAACAATCAGAACTGAGGGTAAAAATACGTACRAGGAATGATTCAGTTCCTGTCAGCATAATTCTTACTTTCAATATTTGATATCCAAGGACTTTTGGTACAAATCTTTGAGTAGCAATATCAGCTACGAAAAAYGCTGCCACGGTGGGCGAGACTTACTTCTCTCGAACCAATATGAAAATATAACACTTTGTATATTACAWTTTTTTTAGCGGATCGGAGAGAAAGCGTTAAAAAATAAATCAATCAGGAACTGTCGTACTAAATACTAGCATTTTTCTAAGATTTATTTTGGTTAACTTTAATCACTTGACGGAGATTGTATCATGGTATGACTGTACAAGACAAGGCTTAGTCATCAGTCAGGACACTCCAGGAGTGTGAACCAATGGCGATTGAGTAAGTGAATTTATAATTAAAACGAGCTGGAATAGATGAATAATAAATACATTATTCGGATTAATAAGACCGAACACTCGACCGAGCGACCAACCGAACATACGAGCGAACCGGAACGAACGAACGAACGAACGATGATTGAGTGATGACGCCGAAACAACAATGACAAATCAATAAACGACTTTAAATMAATGAAAAAGAGACTTACGTTTCGATGACGTTACAAAAGTAACCAAATGCATAACTTTTCATGCATGATCATTCCTGTGGGCGGACAGAAAAAAGACGCAAAGTCGATATGCTTCCTGACATACTAAATGAATAGTACATTACTGATAATTACGCAAAACCAGGACAGCTATTGTGTCTGTATGTACGTTTCGTTCTCTCGTGATTTTTTCCTCGATGACGATGATGAAGTTCCGGCCACCTCTTAGGCGTGTATCATCGATACAAAACCAAAATGTTGTCCAGTTTAACCTTTTAAAGAWATATTCAACTGTTTTTAAAATTAACAAACTTGAATCATACCAGAAGAGTAAGAATGTCATTGACGCAAAATCGGACTGAACAATGATATGCCGGGTTTAATCAAAGAAACATATGTAAACATCATATCTAGTCCCTTGTCTTCGTGCTCTTTTGGAGTGGGATTCCTTTGTAATTGTGGMCGGGAAGAGATTTTAGAGAAAGAAAATAAGAGAAAAAGCTTAAGAAATTGCGTGTGCGGAGTAGACTAGTGCTTCTATAATTTGAACAAATACTCAGGTTGAGCGAAAACTTTGAATTATGATAAAGTTTTAACTTTAAAAGGTTACTSAGTTGAAACAAACCTGACCAACATGAAGGAGCGTCACATTGCTCAAAAACTACAGTGAAAATGTTGTTCATGTTACGGTGTAGTTGGGAAGRGGTTCGAATCCCGCATCCGGCCAGAAACAAAATCGTTTGATYAACTGATTAGTTAAAATCAAAAATTTCATAAATATCATTTCGAATATTTCTTTTGGAGTTGATTTAAATCCTATCCTTGTAGTGCATCCAAACTGTACCATTTTACCACTTGATCAAACAGGCAAATCCCGGCTTTCAGAACCCTTTTCTGTATCCCTTAAGAAACTCTCAGTACATCTGCAGCTGTACCGTGTCTGTCAAGCTGATAAGAATCACATATCGGCCTTTAGGGCACTTAATACGCAAACAGGACCACTTCTTGAATCTTCATTTAGAATGGAATTCCAAGAATGTTTCCTTAAAAGCCATTTATTCTTAAAGGACTTAATAGTCCATCATCTGCTGTTAAGTACTCCATCACGCGTTACCATTACTGGAGAAGCCATCTTGACTGTGATAAGACTGCTTGCCTCGTCTATCAGCGATTGTAGAATTCAGCTATTGCGGCGGGTCAAAACGATTTCTTAAGTAATCGTATAGAGAACATTTAAGGGACTTTAAGGTCTATTTCTCTGTACCCGTCTCATCAATTGTACCTTAAGCGGCTATCCTTAAGTCGGGATTAAGACTTTTTGTATTATTGTTTATGGGCCGATTTGCTGGAGACGTACATCCCCTGAGGCCTCGATTATCTCTATCATATTTTAAGATTTTTAGGGAAAGAATGTCCTCGTAATCATCTTATAGCCGTTCTTTTGTAACTTGAAAGACTCCTTAATGACTAGCCGCCCTGTAACTAACTATTATAAGTAATACTKWACTGCGATGAAACTGCGCAAAAACACATCAAATATTGAAAATATGACATGACCGGGTCATTTTTATTACATTATGTCATAAAGATCGATATTTCAAGTTATCTGTATGACCACATTATATTTCGGTTATTTGATAAAAGCGCGCGCAAATTGTCCGCGCCCGCGCAAAAAAGATACATTTCCTTGTGAATCGATGGAAATAGATCGATAGTCTAATGAGCAAACGTCGAAAGCAAATGAAAAATCCTCGGCTGAATTGATATGAATTAAAACAAAATGGAATTAAATGAGCAAATAATAGACAATGTTTCAACTATCATAACTGAGCCGTGTCACCACTGACTGTTACACTCAACAAATCATTATAAGCAGAGATTTATATTAATCAACTATTTATATATATATGTTTTCAGATTGGAATGGGACATCTTAACCACCCCTTCTAAATCGATGTCAGCGCTCGTTTATTTTTGCAATGACACCAACCCTAGGGGAGTACCTGGTCACCAGTAATCACTCAACCAACTCCCTTCCCTTAAATCCACGCGCGAAGTTTCGCAATGCCACCAAAGACGTTTTACATCGCATCAGTCATCCAAACAACACCTTTGACAAACAGATAGTGAGTAGCTTATCAGTCTGAATCGCGTCAATTTAGTTTAACGACTCTTCTAACTATCGCTAACTAAGCAAAACTCAATCATCATTTCGTAACTTTGCAACTAGGTTTTTTTGTCTGCATTACATACGGATGTTTTTTATGGAAATTCAAAAATAATTAATAGTAYTAAGGTAAACATATTGTTTCATAAGATAATTTCATTTATAGATCGTCTGATTACCACATTTGGACAAAAACTCCAGTTATTTCCTTTGTAGAATGCCTCAAGATATTGCTTTTTGGGGAAGTACTAATCGCGCAAAAGTCATGACATTTTTTTATTGGTATAAAAAGACGTGCTAAAATGCCTGCGTCCATTATATAGCTGATCAATTTCAAGAAAAGATTGTATTTCGATCAAGATTTCCACAAATTTTCTATGCAGCTAACCTATCTATAGTTCGTCTTCAAGCCACAAAAAACAGTGAAGCAACAAAGAAAAAGAAATATGCCATAACCAAAAGGAAAACTTATGGAAGCAGTAGTAAAAACGCTTAAACATTTTTTTTTTTCGTCAGTGAATAAATGTCTGACCCTGCTTGACCATCAGCTTTCCTGTGATAAATGTTCACTGAGGAAATCAAAATATGGTGAATATGACAAACGCTTCGTGTGAAGGCGATTGAACCAGATGTCTAGGGTGTGGCAATAGATAGTCTCCGTTATAATTGTAAGACAAGGAAGTAATAGCTACAAGAAAAAGWACGAAATGACGAAATTTTCCGGTTCATGACGGACAGCTTGTGACGCTCTGAGAGCGCTTAMTCGCGTCRTTTCCGTCGCATCGTTTGATGGAGTCGCGATTTGGGAGAGTTGACAATTGGGTGGTTTTCACCTAAAACTCAAATAAGTACCTTTTCAGGGTCGCTGCCAGAGCATTTACCAAGCAGTGCACTAGAAATGTACGACTTTAAACAAACGTTTTCACTGTCGACAAACCAGAAATTGATMATTTAGGAAAGATACGCWTGGAAAATACACTGAAATTGTAAGACGACCCAACATATTTGTCAGGTGCATAGTGTAAATCAGTTGTGTCCATTTGGGCAAGAAACGCTTTTCAATAAAGTTGAACCCAAAGCTTCCGCTTGACAACAKKCGATGCCATCACGGCGGGAAAAATCATCGAGATCGACGATCTAATCAATGCAAATCAACAAGAAATGTCTTTCTCAAGCGAAAAGGCTGACCAATATCTTGTGAACGCAGACGCAAACAAACAGAATGTTATTCAAAGAAGGTCGAGACMTTGMATATGTCGTCAARAAGGCTTCATCTAGGAGAGAAAAACAAAAGATTTTGTTTTCTTGGGAACTGGAATCACATTGAKTTGTTCACCAAATAGATTCCYATGATTGGATCCATGATTAGAAACAAAACGCGTACCTTTACTTTCATATAAAAAAATATTAATAAAATAACACAAAKTACCAATATCATAGTTTTCCACACAGAGGAATCAATATTTGATATTCTATATTCTGAAACTACTATATTACAAAATCAGCGATTTTTTTTATCGCAAATTAGAACATAATTTTTTAAACAATATCAACAATTTTGCACTCAAAGTTCAAATCTTACAGATATACAGCCTCGTTTTCATGTTGAGGCTTGGTTCCTTAGCATGTCTTAATTACAAAAACGCGGCAGTACTTGGTGTAAGTTACTAGTCATGGTTCTTTMAAATTCTATCAACAAAAGATGCTAAGAAACAACATACACCATGTACTGGTCTTAATTCCAAAACTTTCAAAATAATTTAATGCGCTCAACCACTGTAACCGGGAAAAAGGCACAAATTCTTTATATGCGATTGCTTTGTTCCTTTTGAGTCTATTTTACACACTTGAATAGTCTGTTCCACGGATTTAAAGTGAGGTCAGAAAACCCGTGAAACAAAATTTGACCAGTAAATTGTGATAGTCAAATAGTAAACAAAAGAAAACAAGGGAATTATAGTGTACTAAGGTGTATTACTGTTATGTCTATTTCACGGACTTTCTGAGTTCACTCTAAGGACCTCACTCAAATGAATGCTATTTACATCATTGCGTTTTTATAAGTCCGTGAACGGCTTTCAGTGCACTATTACAAAATGCTTTATATTTTACTGCGTTTTCACGGGTTTAAGAAGYCCATTTTGTGGTTACAATGGTTGAGGTAATTAGAATAGCTCAAAGCACTAACTATATGTATATATATATATAATATATGATAATCACTGGATGGAAAACGTTCCAGTTTCCTCCACAGCAAAGGTAAGTTTCTCTAGCAGTTCTTCGAATGAACGATATACAGGAAGATCAAGACGATTGAAGCATGTATGAGCTCTGAGGAAAAACCAACATGAATAAGTATCAACTATTTTCCAAAAAAAAAGGTTTCTTAAAAAAGTGAAAATTAAACCAGTATTTTCTTCACCAAGTAAAAAGCCATTGCAAGCCGGCAAGTTGACTATCAAAGTGTGTGTTTTCACTGATTGTGTGAATACATTCTATCTAGAGATRGTGTAAGAGATCGGATGGAAAGGGATTGTAAACCGATAGTGGAAAAACAGCTGATTTTTTTAATGTCAATAATTCAAGTCACGACACGAATGCATGCTAGTTGGCTACGTCCTTTTACGAAAATMCAACACAATTTTTTCTACAATATAATCTTACCTGGGTAACTTGGAGAAATCGCCCCATCGTTCAATTGAGAATTTCCTTGGTCCTGTGCTACCTCTAAGAGCAGCAAACCCTTCATAAGGAATGCTCGATGTACCAGTCACAAACTATAAACACAAAAAAAAGTCTTTACACAAAAGGACCGGGTACTATGTATGTAGTAAGATTCCGTTATTTCAAAAGGTTTCAGGCATTACGGTAGTGATACGTTTACGGTTCCGTCAACGCAACAAGAAAAAACAAATCAATACTTAAAAGGAACACAATAGTTACTAATATAAGTATTGCGGTTCCGTAAGTTCAAAAGGTTTTAGTCGTTACGGTAGTGATACGTTTACGGTTCCGCAACAAGAAAAAACACGTCATTAAGCAAAAGGAACGCAATAAGTACTGCGCATTACGTTTACATGATCTCCAAGCGTTTCAGACATTACGGTAGTGATGCGCACACGGCCGATGTCAACACAACATTGCTATGAGTAAAATCCCATCAATAGAGCAATGTTATCGCCGCCACTTTGGATGAATAAAAAAGGAAAAGTTTTCATGAGGAACGCTTTGTTATCTTCGTCCGAAATGTTTCTGCGCGTACACCGCAAGCCGAATGTGTTTTAATTCTCTTGGCCAGCTTCGTCTCCAGGCTACTCGGTTTTCTTCGCAGGGTGTCACAAAGCAAATCGACCGTAATTTCGAAACCAGAAAATACATGGCAGAGTACACCCTGGGGTGTACGAGACTTTACTTGGACGACGGCCCCAACAAGTGCGGATAAGACTATCTTATTGTTCATAGTACCTGTAAGAGCCTAAGACGTTGCTCATTGTCAAACGAAGCGACAGCCTTCCAAAACCACTTGACGACCTTGTGTCCATCGTGGAACCCTTGGAAAAAAGATTCTCATTTCAATGAATTAATACATATCATAATGATAATAATATTTATTAAGCACAAGATAAAAAKTATAGATATCCTATGTTAAAATGGTATAAGCTCACCAGAACGGTACTCGGTATGTCGTCTCCAGTCCTTTATATCGATGTCCGCGGTGCCTGATATCACAAGTTCCAATTCCCGCGCATCAAATATTCTGACTAGGTTAGGATCGATCACCTTGAATAAACAAACGGAACTTTTAAACGCTGTTTGTACAAGAGAAGAAAAGAAAAMRGGAAAAAGGGAWGAGAGCATAAGAAAAATAATAGAAAAAGAGGAATGGAATGGAAAGAAATTAAATAGTTGAGTGGAAGCGAGTGAAGACACGACACTGTRAATTCTGATTAGAATGTGTCCACAACGGGACATTAGYAATGTACTGATATCATCCATGGCAGACACACAATGTTCAGTTATYTTTGTAGCCGKTTATGTCATTATATGTAATCTTATGTCCCACATGCGTTTTGGCTATTTTTTAGGACGGCAAGACTAGTTGAACAATAGGACGTACAAAGAAACAGTTCGCGAAAAGTAAAGGAAAAAGTGGGAAATTAAGGAAGTCGAGCATGTGTAGGAAAGAGAAGTGAAATGAAAACAAAAAGAAAAAACAAAACTAAAAGATTGAGTAGAATGGAAGTAAATGAGAAAGTGGAAGGATGCAAAGGACATACTTCATTGAATCCTCGCACGATGCTCTCCATCTGTTCAGAGACGCCTCGTTCAACTCTCCATTTCACCATCTCATTAACGTATTCAGATTTATTTTCTTCAGTGACAGCGATATCTTTACCACCWGGTATAAGTTCTCTTTCAGTAACCTAAAAAATTAGCGAGAAATTAGTGAGATGACTGCCCATTTTCACTTCAATTCAACTTTTATTCATTCTCATTATTTTAGACTAGATGCAGGGAAAATTAAACAAATTTATATTGGGCTAAATGTAAGTCGTTGTTTTTTAATTGAAAAAAAAAAAAAACCCTGATTACACTAAACGCTAAATGTAATTTATTCATGGCCATATAGTATTTGTAAGTAATTTGTAATTTGTAATTAGTCGTAATTGTCACTATTACTAATTATACGAATTCTGCTCCATTGTATATTTTCGCTATGTAGACTAACTTGTTTATTCAAGTTAACATAATTTAATCATCTCAATGACTTATTGATCCAAAGCCCAAGTATCTAAAAACTTGCAATTACCACTCAACCAGTGAATATCGTCAAATACTCAGGTCTCGTTCAGCCAATCATTGCGCGAGGTTTTGTATAATCAATTGAAGTGCATTTATTAACGAATCGAATATAATCGAGTGCCTATTATCTAGTTCGTAATGATCATAATTTGTGTATATTGCTGTATATAAAAAAATGAAAATTAAATACAACTAACTCACCTGACCAAAGATCTCCTCACTGACTGAAAACGTTAAGTCCAGCACATCTTCTATATCATTCTCTATGACCCATGTCATACTTTGATGAAATAACGCATCTAGAGACTCCACATCACTTAAATCACACGGACTGAAAAATATATCGATATCTTATTAACTTATTTATCTGGAAATCGAGGAATGGCTCAGCGGTGTGCGTTATATCCTGAATGAACTTGGGAAATTAATGGACACAAAAATTGGCGAAAAGTTGCACGACGAACATCTGATAACGAAGCATTCCTTTTATATTTTTTCAGGTTACGTCACAGCGGCCATCTTGTATGAACTTTAACAAAGGATTTCTCATTAGTATCTATGTTCCATCCCTCCAACATGGCCGCCGGTCTTTTTTSTTTTGAATCTCATGCATGGGAATGGGTGAAAACGATCAATTTTAGAAAAAGATTTTTTTTAAATACTAAATTCTCAATACACTCACTATAAACAAAAAAGTACAAGAAACACAAAACGTACACAAGCAAATAACCACTCAAAAAAACTACAGGAATACAACTGACTGGTTATCATAGCTTTGAGGGTTTCCTTGTCAGTAATCAAATACTAAATTCTCTATACACACAACAGACAAAAAAAAGCAAAACAATACATATGTAAGCAAGTGTTCAACGCAGAATTCTTCGTTTTCAAATGACGTCACAGCGGCCATCTTGGATGAACTTTATAACAAAGGTTTCTCATTAGTATCTATTGTTCATTCTTCCAACATGGCCGCCGGTCTTTTATCTTGTGAATCCCATGCATGGGAATGGTTGAAAGCGATCAATAAAAGGACTGATTATTATAAAAACGTCTAGTATACTTYACCTCCTCAACAAGGCTTTGTAGTAGGTACGAGTAAAGAACGCATCCAGCAGRTGTTGATGAACAATAACTAGACCAATAATACGACCACAGAAACGGAACCTATCAGCGAACAAGATGAAAATTATTGAAAAATGTTATACAAATTAACAGTCCACGAGTTAACAATCGTGTAGACCATCCACGGTCTACCGTTTGATTGCACCATGAAATGCGTTGGAGACTGGTGTATGCACAAACAACGCCTTATTCAACGACGTTCGCGGGCAAATGAATTTGTGATGCAATTTTTGCGGAAGTCTGAGAAGATACTTCGCTTCATGATACTGCATAATGTTGAAAATTGTTGGGGGAGGGGTGGCCGCTAACCATATTATATCTATAAAAATATCTTTGTAGATCGCATAAATCTGACTAATTCGGGTAAAAAATGCGCGTGAAATATGGTCTAAATATTTGGTATAAAAACCAACTAGTTGAAGGAAAAAAAGGTTGGTTTGTAGAACAAAATGGCGTCGCTGCGCACATTTACATTTCAAATGTCAAATACTCACCATTCATGCGAGTTATCAACGTACAGCGATACCGGGCTAACTTGAACCGTGTACGTATCATTGGCTGAATACTCGAACAGCCCATAATAAGGGTTGAAGATCTGACGTGAAATGAGGAAGAAGAACTCTCGGGCAGGGCCGCCATAGTCCAACCTACAAACAACACAACGATCGAAAAATCATTAAAGGGCTACTTGGACGAAAATTTCGAATCATTAGAAAAGACTTGGGAATCAAATAGATCTATCCATATGGGTCTGATAATCATGAAGCAACAGATTTCAAGAAGATATTGATACAAATCCTTGATAATTTGACAAGGACTTGGGGTTCTTGTGAGCCATAAGTGGTCTTTTCAAACGGTAATGTCGATGTTCTACTTACCCTTCTTCGCCAGCAAAAGTGATTTCCAGTCTGTTTCGCTGTAAACTTCGYGCGGTTTCTTTCATGATTTGATCGTAAGCATCCTCAAGAAGTCGATCTCGTCGTATAGTCATTCTGCAGGTAACGAAGATTACTTTGTAGTCGCCATGATRAGTGCGTGAAAATATCACAAGACATCCGTGTACAACAGATACAGAATATGGTTGTGCGAGGTTTGGTTTTATACTGCATGCTTTGCACCTCACGGACGATGCAGCAAATAGAATTATATGGAAGTATTACGCAACTCTGAGATATGACCAATATTAAAGACAGTATCGTATGAAAAAAGGTGTTTTTTTACCCTATTTTATTGTCTGACTTCAACGTCATTATCACTGATTTCCAGCAGTATGACGTACTAATAAGATGCAAACATAAACGCGTGAAAAAGGACTAACGGCAAATAGTGTCAAATAGCTCAATACAGTGTAGATTAGATAATAGAAACCAAAGAAATTCGCGTAATTCAGTACAATTTAGCACTATTTAGCTACTAAAGATTTTACATGGTTTTCAAAAACTCATACATAATTAATGAGTTATCAGGCCAATAGAATGAGCCTATTTGGTCACATGCATGGACCTTTATATCTGATAAAACACTCCTTATTAGTATTCTTTATATAAAGAATACTAATAAGGGTGACCTTTATCAGATATAAAGGTCCATGACCCTAGCAAACCTGATCATTGACCAATGCAGGATTTCAACCGAAAGCAGTGAACAGCCAAAAGCGGTTCTATTTTACTTTTTGCGTATTCAATGTGGGATGACAAGAGTGCTTTGTTAAGTGATTCGCGCATGATCAGTTTGCCCTATTTACCTTAGAACATATTTGTACGGCAATTTCTCCAAGAATTTTAACGGATTTGAGTTTCAAATTAGTGTTGGAGTTTTTGAAGCCGTTTAAAACACTCGAGATCGTGTTTTATCAGTTATAAAGATTCTTGCCTTCGGCTCGAATCTTTATACCTGATAAAACACTCTCTCTCGTGTTTTAAACTATACTTAGTGTTTGCACTATAGCATCACAATCACCAAAACACTAGAACTATCAAACATCACTGTCATYATAATAATCACTATCATTAGCAGCTTGTAAGTCATTACATGTGCCAAGWCCAARTGTTTTGCGGCTACTTACTTGATTTTATTGGGTCCCTGTCCGTAACCTTTGTGATACAGCTGCCGATGGAAAGAACGAACTTTGGCTTCAAAATCTCGTCGATAAGGTGCAGGACTAGGTCCTGAAGACCCACTTGCTCCACCGGAACCTTCAAAATAAAAAWTATCGTARAAGAAAAGCAACGCTTTACATCTCCACTTTCGCCATGACAACGCCTACTACCCAAACTATCCCAGAATCCTTTTAGGTGGCTCCTTTTTCCAGCTTCACATTGTTGTCAATAGTGACATACAAAATATAGGCCAACATTTTTGTCATTCGGTTCAATTCTTGTCTCTCCATATCTGTAGGTTTTGATATCAGAGTAATTTTTACAAGGGTGCATCCAGGACTTACAACATAAACTAAAGATATTTGTACCGAATCTATACTACAATGCAATGCAAACTGCTCTCTCAGTCGCAGTCGCAGTCGCAGTCGCAGTCGCCAAGACAACAAAGAGTCAAACCAATAGGCATAAGTACCTTTTCCTGAACTTTCAACTGCTGATTTACGATTTATTGGAAGAGGGGTTCTGACTGGTGAACTGGGCAACGAAGTTGTGGGTGATGTGGGATCAGCCTTCTTGGAGACATCGGGCGGCACAAATGACATGATTTGATCCTCAAATAAGCTACAGAAAAACAAATGTAATGATTGTAAACCAAAAAGATAAAAAAATACACAAACAAAATACATTTATAAAAAAACACTAAATGTACATGAAATAAATCAAAAGTGCAAAAATGTTAAATAATCAAAAACCTTAATAACATGACGAAGTCCACGTTGTTTGAAAGCCTTTCTAAAGACCTTTCTCCTTCAACTTTAACACGTCTGATATTAGCTCTGAAACATCAACAACATTTGAAGTCATCTGTCTAATTATCATGAGCATTACGAGCATCTTTTCCCTTAGTTATTTCGTTTTTGTTTACTCACTTTAGCGCCATGTTTCTTGCAAATCCATTGTGTTTTCTGCCAATAATCTCATCGATATTTGGCTGCGATAAGAACCCTACAACTTGCTGATTATAAGCTGAAAAATAATACAACAAAATCTTGGAAATATAGAAAAAAAAAACACTCTTAAACTGACACTATGCTATTTTGAACTATTGCAAAAAGTCGGCACTCAACGAATCACTATTTAAGAAATATAAAACTGCGCGCGTCTCTGCGAGTGTTTATAGCAGAGAAYAGAGACACAAGCGGCGGTTTTACAGTTCCTTTATAAAAATTTTCTACGTTTTTCGAGGGAAAAACAAATTTTGCCGTGTCTCTGTCYTCTGATATAAACACGGTCTTCGGCCAATCAGGTCGCGCGTTATGTATCAAAAAATTTATAAAACTATACAACATCATGCAAGACTTACTGAGTGTGGTAGCTGCCGAAGCATCGCTATTCTGACGAGAATGTCCCCTTGGTGGGGGAGGTCTAGGSGGAGGTGCTCTTGACCGTCGTGGCTAAAGAAATCAAAAGACGTAGGTTATACAAAGGTAAGTTAAATAGCATTCTTGCTAAGATTGTTGATATATGTTATATATTGTTTCTAAAGGTAAGTTTAAAGCTTAATAATTCTTGCTAAGTTGTTGATACCTCAGTCTCAGTTCCCGAGCGGTGTCTTCTGGTCGTACCCGTATGAGGTAGCCTGGGATCTATAAATGTCGTGGTTCGTGTATTGTGGTCGATGAAGTACAACTGAGAAAAAAAAGAAAACCTTATGTTAAAATAACGACAGAAACATAGACATATGCAAATACAAAGAAACTAAGGAAAGCATATCTAAACATGCAGACACGGACAGACAGACTAACATAAAGGCAGGCGGTAGAGKTATATAACTAACCCTTCCATTTTGGTCGACTTTCTTGTCCCAAGCAGGAGGTAGTTCACTTTGTGTATCGGCGAACTGGTTGAGAAAACGAACAAGCTCTACTTGATGACGATACCTGAACAAATATCATCACAAAACGTTACGAATATTAAGTTAACTTATAAAAATATTATGACACAGCGCACGACACTTTTCGCCGTTCCTGTGGCGAGTTATTTTATTCCAACGACTTACTTTTCAAAATTTGCGGGTTCAGCTCTCACTTTGGAGATAATAAGCTTAAGCATCTGACTTTGAAAGTAGTATTGACCAGCAACCTGGAATAATATGACAAGGACAAAAATACAAGGTTAAAATACAGTTTCATTTAATACACAATGATGTTATGATGATGATGATGGTCGGCAGACAGTTAATACTACTGTAACAGTTTTCGTAAATGAGTATAAACAAACAGAAACAAATAAGAAAGAAGGAACAACAGCATAAGAATAGAGTTGCTTGCATAAACCTGTGAAATAGATATTAGGTGTCTCTATTTTTCTCKTTTGTTTCTATTTCTTAAACAAGAGATTTTTTCACGGAATTTTGTTTTCAATTGAACTGTGATTCTAAAAATCACTTTCACCACTGCTTACCCCACTGCTCTTAATAAAATCCACAAAGTCAGGCCGAGTGATGAACTTTACAGCAGGYGAGTCGAGTAAAGCGACAGAACGAGTAGTAGACGACCTTGACCGTGATGATGGCCCTGCTTGAGCCTGGGCTCGAGAGCTGTAAGGTGTCCCGGATGTGCTTGGTGTCGYTGGTGTCGTCGATGACGAGCTAGGTGTGGACACTGCAGTCGATGTTGGTGTTGCTGTAGGTAACGACTCGGAGCGAACAGGTGTTGTTACTGCTGTTCGCGATCGTGACGCGGTGTCTGTGTTGCTTTGTGTACTCTCGTTTGATTGGTTGGTTGCTTCGGGTAAAGGTGGACGAGACTGTCTATTGCGACCTCGTAGAGTTCGCCTAAAACTCTCGTACCTGAATAAAACAAATCGAAAAAAATAAATGAAAAAGGAATGAACGGATGTAAGAACGCATTAACATAACTAATAATTAAAAATAAAAAAATATACATATACGTCAATCGACTGATTGGTAGGACGCACGAACACTAGCGAGCGAGCTAATGAACAAACGMACAAAATAAAAACAAAAGCTTGTATGCAGGATTGAAAAATCTGCCGCGCAAAGCCAAAAAATAATGAAAACAACAAAATAAATCGCACATGGAGACGAAATTATACTTCCATAATCACTAAGCGTAAGAAAACTTCCTTTACCTTCGGTCTAAACTCTGCCAATGAGTGTTAATCTCGTTCATACTGCTCTCATTYTGTGGTGCTTCTWAGAGTTRAAAAATCAAAGACGTTAGTGAACTACAACYAGTYAAGGTTACAGGGACATCATGGGGACTTCGCAATACTTTTCATGAGGGGAGGTTGACAAATGAGCCAAAAAATCAATAAAGTTAATAACTACCCCTAAATTACGCTCTGCCCCCCCCCCCGTGCATTTATTTATTTATTATTCGTTATTTATTATTCGTGAATAAAGAGTTGTCGCAAATCGTGACACGCTTTTCTTGAGAAGTCTAAAAGCACAGAATCTGACACCGTCTGTTGTTCAGTTTCCATTTAAAGCACGTTGGTTCATTTTGACGTTGCGCCCCTCTTTAATAACATAAAATTAGATTTGAACCCCTCTTCTGATAAATATTGCGCAATCGCTTACCTCGTGTTGGTCTTGACCACGTGGTCGTCCTGTTAGCATGGTCGATATAGTATACCCGTCCATGAGAATCAACGCCTCTTTCCCAGTCTGTTGACAAGAGTGGTCATCTTAGATTTGAAGAAGGTATAACTAAGTAAAGGGATAGTCGAATTGTCCTAGTTCATTATGACGTCACATCAAAATATTCTATTGTTTTAACGCTAAAGATTATGGTCGCCAGATGGGATCAGAGTGATCAAGATTTTCAAGCCGAATACCATAAGGACCGACTTCAATGAAGAGATGATTATGAGTACAAACAACATATTTGAATAGCTTTGAATGAAATCGGAAGATGTGCGATTCAGAGTTAGGAACGGGTCTGATCCCGATATGCAAAAAGAAATTGTTCTAATGTTTTCAATACAAACACCTTTTTATTGCTATATCTTACTTGGAGGTAAAGCTTCGTCGTCRTTCGCTCGTCTTCCTCGATGTTCACTGTCTTGTATCTGCAAGTGAACGGGATTAGCGTCTGTTCTTTCACGAGATCGTTGCCGTTGCTGTCTTGACGAACGTCKACGGGACACCAATGCGGCTTCATGACTGGGTGGTCGTCCTTGTTCTTGCGCTGGTAGTCCGGCACTTCCATTCGGTGTTTCTACCGCTTCATGTCTCGGTGGTCGATTCCGACTATGGGGGGTGGGTTGAGGGASGCTTGTAGTCTCCTCTTCTCGTCTAAAACGTGGATCTTCAGTTTGCGCTGGTCTCTGTGGTGTTTGCGCACTGCGTACGTACGTTCTTAACATTTTTGAGATATTTTCTCTGTTTAAATCTGCTGTAGATGGTTTGGGGATAGCTCCTGTAAGTGTAGTCTCGGTGCTTGTGCCTGGGGATTGAGACGCAGCAAGTGGCAGTGAAGGTACTTCGCTTGTTTCATTTTCCACCTCGTTCCAGTTTACACCAGCCTGCTCRGCTGTTGGTGAGGGAACTGGTGTAACTGTTGTTGTTTCCCTGGGTGATGATGACACGGCAGCTAACACCGCTCTTGTTTCGCTCGATGAATCATCTTCTAAATTAGCCACCGGTAGAGCAACAACTCCCTCGAAATCTCTTGATCKTGGACTAGAGTTACCTGAATCAAGAGTTGGAGAAGGAATCGGTGTGACGGAAGCGGAAGTCGAGGGAAGTGCACTAGCAACAAAGATRGCTTCCGGTGAGTTATCAATGTGTGATCGTGACGTCGGCGAGTCAGCTGATACWGGAACAGCTATAACAACGGGATCACTTAAACTGGCWCGATGATAAGGTTCTGAAGCTTGGTACCGAACTGAAGCACGTGGTTCCGTCTCTGTTCTTCTTCGACGAGCGCGCTCGGGCCGYTCTGGTCGCTCAGGTCGATGGYTCAGTCTCGTACCTCGTGTATCACTCATAGACCTTGATAAATGTTTTGGACGACGGGTTGGTCGAACAGGAACACTTTCTATAAATGAAACGTGCCCTTCTGATCTCGTTGAAGATCGCGAGTCGTCGGATCTCGAGAAGGAAACGATTGCTTGCTGTCTGCGATTTGCCCTAGAATCGATAGCTGCGTCACCACGATTCGATCTCGCATCATTTGGTGCTACAGAACCTGCCAGTGATTGGCTTCGATTTGTCCTTGTGTCAACTACTGATTCGATACGATTTGATCTAGTTTCTACTAAAGACTCACTACGACTTGATCTCGTGTCAGCTAATGGTCCATTACGATTTGATCTTAAACCATCAAACGATTCACTGCGATTTGCCCTTACATCGACAATAGATTCATTTCGATTTGTCCTTGTATCGACTATTGATTCACCACGATTTTTCCTTCTATCAAGTATCGACTCATTACGATTTTCCCTTTCATCTACTAATGATTCACAACGATTTATCCTTGTATCGACTATCGATTCATTTCGATTTGTCCTTGTATCGACTATTGATTCATTTCGATTTGTCCTTGCATCGACTACCGGTTCAGTACGATTTGAAGCTGCTTCGACTAGCGATTGACTGCGGTTATATCTAACACTGACTAACGGTTTACTACTATTTGATCGTGAATCAATTAATGATCCACTTCGATTCGACCTACCACCCACAACCATCTGTGATGRMGCTGCATTTTGAACAGAAGTAAAATCCATACAGTCAGGTTCGCCTTCCTCYACGGGAATAGCTACTGAAGACAGATCAAGTCTTTGATTGTCAGTTCTCTCCATTAGCGTTACAATCGCTTGTGAGGATGATTTGTTARTTCTATGTGTATCTACGTTTGTTACTTCTTCGGCTACCGCCTCACTTTGTACAATCTGTTCTACAGTGTCGGGTAAAACTTGCTCTTGAGTTGGTTGTGTTAACGGTGAGTTTCTTGTAGTTGTATGTGAATCTTCGTTGATTCCTGCATTATCAAGCACAATYTGTGACTCATTGCTGACTGGATTCGCKGCGTCTTCCTGCAATGGCAAMGCTATTTCCTCTCCACTTCTATTCAAGCCTAGATCTCTTTCAGCTGAAGTCTCCATGACTCCTTCGTTGCTGCTAGTGTTTTCAACTCTCGATGGATTGGTGTAACCAGGCGGGCTAACAACTGATGAAGCAGTTTCTTGGGGTTCGCCTGATTCACTCTGTTCATATGTCCAACTGTCAACCGAAATAACACCACTTGATCGCAATTCATCGTCAAGGGTGGAGTGCTCTGAKTCCATTTCATCATCACCATCGTTTGGATTTCCATACAAGTACCCATAAGCACCCTCTTCGACCTCATCCATTTCATCACTGTCGTCCAAATTAGGCGGAGAAAACGTCGCCTCTTCATCCAATGCCTGCTCACTTTCCGCAAGAATCCTTAACGGCGAATCCTCAGTCAATTCGATGCTTCCAACGCTTGTTCTCATGGATGAAACAGAATTGACATGATCMGATGAAGGCTGACTCCCCTCTTGTCTCACATCATCCACAACTTCTCCTTCGGAATCTAAAATATCGAGAGATTCTTGTGAACCGACAGGATGTTGTTCATTCTCAAGAGGGTCACMTGACATTTCGTCATATCCTGTGGCTTCATCTGATAGTCTGTCTGCAGKCTCTGAAGTAGGAACATCGGGTTCTTGCAAGGTCTGCTGGGTGTCAGGGTCATGTGCGATTTCKCCATTTTGTATCGTCTCCATTGTTTCTTCGATGTGATTTGTGTGCTCGTCTAAAACGCTCTCAATACTCGGTGCTTCTTCTATTGATGTTTGCTCAGTTCGCCCTTCTCTCGGAATATTTCTTCTTGGGCTTGAAATCTCYGGRTCAAGAGGYACGAATTCCTCCGAGTAGAACTCGGAAAACGGTCGCATYTCACGAGGGAGGTTTCGTCGTCGGTTGACAGTCGTTCCTTCGTTGTTTTCTGTATTGAACGGTGACATAGGTGAAGAAGGTTGACTCTCTRCAGCAGCTGATGGTGAAGCATCTAAAGTCGGTCTTAAAAGATCYGGTGCTGACGATCTTAGAGCTGGATTAGTCATCACGCCGCYATGCGATGACAAAACGTTCAGGTCGGACGGACGTCGGTTTTCTCGACCACTTGGTCGTCTTTCTAAATAGAGAGAGAAAAGCATTAGCTGTAGASTAGAAAACAAACTAAAGGTGCGTTTTCACATWAATGAGCTTATATTCATGCAAGTTTGAGGCTCGCCTCAGGTAATGGCCAACATTTYGAGCGAATATAACGGTAGTTAATGACTGAGAASTATTCAAAATAAAACTATGYGACATAGCTTTACCAGTTTCATGCTTACCTTCGTCACTAGTCGCTCTGTTTGCGGGGTTTAATGGAGCAACTATGAARCGAATTCTTCCTTGTATACGATCAGAAGGCGTTCTTTTGCAAAGTGTTTTATTGATTACAGATTCAGATCTATAAGGCAAAAATAACACATTTTTATTATACTTCCAAATGACGWATTACAATGTGGGCTGCTCAAGAACAGCTCCTTAARAAAAATGCAATAGTTTMTCTTGGAATTACGCAAATTTCATCCAGACATGATGACACCCGAAAATACCAGTAATTGAATAGAATCTTGCATGTGGTGAGGTTTTCAATTCATAATATCATTTTAATTTCATATATCATTCCCGAAAATGCCAATTGAACTGATATTAAAGAAATGAAACTTTAAAAATAAAAGACAGAACTTAAAGAAAGTCAAATGGAAATAAGAAACTACTTACATATTATTTTCTTGGTGGAAGACATCACTTAAGGGTACCGAGAGTTTACCAAGGAAACGACTAAATGCTGGACGAGTTCCAGAGAATTTATTTCGCACTTCAACCTCTAGAACATCATCATTTGAACCAACAAATACAAATTCCTGGAAAAAAGGTATAAACAATCATGTTGGTCGTTGTACCAAAGTAATTACACGAAGGGAGTGTCGTATTTGTCTCTTCCGCAGCGTTTCGCCCTCGAAGTGAGGAGACTATAACCCAGCAGAAAAATGATCGGCCATGAGATACCATAGGGACCCCAAAAGGGCAAAATGAAGTATCTGCGGAGGAGGCTCTGTCGTATCCAGAATTTTACAATGAAATTTTTTATGACTCCATTCAAGACGACGTTTGAAACACACATTTTTCAGGTTTGGCTACAATTTACAATTTTACGCTTAAAATAAACAATAACTAAAAGGAAGTTGATAATGTAGGGGGATTGGTCGTCATATAACCCTTTTGTAAATGTCCTCGTGTTGACACAATCTTGACGTCATAAAATAGTTTGATACTCAAGTGGACCCACGAGTGCACATTCTGTCATTGATTTAGTACAAATCATTATTTTTTTTTCAAATGAAAAACTGTGGGAAAAACGTGATGCATAGCATAGTCCGTCTTCTTATTGACACATCCTAATCAGCCAATCAGCACACGAGAATTCACACATTAAATATTATAATGTAAAAGTCAATGTAACAATGTAAACTATTACAATCTGCAATTTAGTCCTTTCTTCGTACGGTTTTCTGTGGGCACTTAATTTCGCGAAACTAGAGCAGACCTATTTTGTTCTTGTCAAATAATTGCATTTTCATTTTCGTTTGGCTTTGTCATTTTCTCCTAATAATTAGTAAGAAAYCTAACATGAATAAGGTATATTATCATAGTTTTCTTACCTCATTCTGCCAGTTAGGATCAATAGTATGTGACTGTGATGAGGTCTTTGCTATCTGGCCATGATGGTGTTTCCAGGATCTGAAGTGTCTTCTTGAGGGAATTACTGATAGTTTGACATAAGGACTAGGTTTACCAAAGATATTTTTCTTTAAACCAAATGCGCTGAGACCTACAAAATCAGTAAATGTAAAATATTAAAATGCTCTATTTATTTTCATTCTATAGTTTCACCGGCTGTGGTCTATATTCTTTGAAAGTAAAAATTTCACAAAAAATCAAGGAATGCAAAATGTAAATAATTATAAAACCAAGAGAAAAACACAAATATCATTATAAAATTCAATTTACACTTAATTAAATTGCTCTAGACAATATGGGGATATCAAACCCATTGAGAAAAATTTCCATACTGTATATGTCACAGTCATGGTGTTTTACTCACAGACACAAAACAGAAAACAATACAATTAATATGTCCTTAAACACTGTATTAGTTTATAATATCTCATCATAGGTCTAATGCCCTGCCACTAAACAACAGCTTACTAACCTGACACAGATATTTCACACAGAGTATCTTGAGAAATGTTTGCTTGGTGGCGTCCGCCTGAGCCATGAATCTGAAATTACATTATACATAACTAGTAAATGCTTGTAACAGACAAAAAGGCGGACATCTAAAATTACATACGKCTATTGTTACAGATTYAGGTTGAATATGTGAATTGCCCATTCAAGCAAGAATAATSATTGTCTTTTTGGTTGATTAATTCTTGCTGCTGGAAGTAATATGCTGTCTTGCAGTTTCATTTAGATGCATTTTACATAATTATAATATTTAAGATTACATACAAGTTTGATTGAAGTTGAGGCTTTTTGAAATGCATCAATTAGTGCTCTAATAAGCAAGGGTGAATTTGCAATTGAGCAGAAACAGTTTATAGTAAAAAATCTAATTGTTTATTCACACGATGTGTTAAATATACAGAAACATATATCTTTTAACATTTTCATCCAAAAAATTGTTTAAATCTTTTCACACTAAAATGTCATAAATTCAAAAACATTTGCTCTGTACAAGTTGTCAGATAATCCAAAGGCGAGCAACAATGTCTGAAATAGGCTGACAAAGGCCAAGGGCAAGCAACAATCACAAGAGTMCTTCACAGTTCATGTACCCTCTTGAAAAGAAGCTCTAAATATGAATCAAAGCAAGCAGCTGGACTGGTGAGCTTGTTGTAGAAGTCTAACAATAAATTGCCCTTTTACCCTAACTAGGGCATCTTACTTTAATACAAAGGCTTGCTACCATCAAGAATCTTTATATTGCAAATTGCTTTWACTTAATGATTTGCTTATAGCAGGATCCAGTTTTATCAACAGTTATTATAGTTACTTTATCAAATTCATTAATAACTCATAAGGTAAACACAATGGAAAATCATTGCCGTGACCACATCTTTATATGAGAACGAGATTTGACCTGATTAGTATATGACTTTAACTTCGATTTTTTCTTTAAAGTAAATATTCTATTTTAAAGGTTTTAGCAATTATTATGCTTTAGCTTACATGTATTTGGAATTTGAAAAACAATATATCGCGTYAGACCTTTATGGGCTTTGAAACTCAATAATATGTATTAATAATAATTAGATAAATTAATCAATGTAATCAAATTAATTAATAAAATATGTTATATATTACATAGAGAGATATAGAGTGTAGATCAATTATTACTAACCTCTGCATATGGATTGTGAACAAATAAMGTTGGGCTGATTGCCCTTACCGACCCAGTATTGGCATAAATATACTTGAATATACATCTATTTTCAACTGAAAATATATGAAAAAGGTTAATTAATATTTTAATCAAATCTTGATTAAATAATTGAAGAAACCAGACACTTTACTGTCTGAGTCAACAGCAAACCAGACACTTTGCCATGTTGGTCAAGCATAATATTCATTGAAAAGTTGACTAAAATTACAAAAAAAATTATTCATAACAGTTATTGTCATTGTCCTTAATTTTACTTTCACAATAGAAATACATAGGTTCTMRTCAAATATTCATGATAGATRTCACATTTGAGAGCAGGAAATGTTGCCTTAAAGGGTGAATCATGGTCCTCCAGCATTGAATGTGGTCGTGTTTTAGATTTTTCATAGGGAAAATGATATTATATTACAATTGCAACCTGTTTCCATCTGTTCGTTTTAAGGTCAARTCTTACAATATCTGCATTGATATAGCAGAAGGGGATAATAATTTTATAAAGAGCATTTTTTTTGATTATATTGTGCACAATGTATTTTTATTTTCAAATGTAAACAAAAGTTTGATAGGGGATACTGGTGAACCATGGCCCTTTATAATAAATAATTAATATAAATAAAATCTTTTTTGATAAATATCATAGAATGGATTTGTTATATTAAAGATTGAAATCAAAATTTGTAACCAAATCTAGTTCCAGGTACATCAGAGTTTCAGTCCAGCATTGACATCTCCAGACATAATTTGAATAACAATTATTAATGGTAATACGAAATCAACTATCAGCAGACAAGGATTTTGTTTGGTCACAAAGTTGATTTTTCTTTTATTGATTATCATAAAAACTCCAGATTTATTATATAGCAAAATATTTACTACAAAATAGAGAGGTTTTGGCTAAATGCGATACAGTACAAAGCAAAAATATCAATATTGCATAATGCATAGCATGTGATAGGATGCGCAGGTGGGCAATATGCCTCCAACATAAATAACCATTTCTTYAAAATAATTGCCTTAAATTTTTCTGAATAATTTTTGTACTTTTTCAGAATCCTATCAGGTACTCTAATCATTGGAACAGATCTGATATGGCATGATATAAAGTATAGTTGTACAATTTTAATACAACATGCTATAGWACTTACTATTATTAAGCTCAATGTTTCTGGATATCACCCATTTTATTGCTCCTCGCCTTGCACCTGTAACACCTCTTTGTTTGCAATCTAAGTAGTTTGATAGTGAGGTTGGATAGTCTGAATAAAAGACAGCAATAGTTAGAAATTATGACCTCAAGGTTTTCCTAGAAGAACATAGTTAAACAATACAATAGATATCAATATTGATGACTTTTTATCTATTGTCTTCATGTACCTGGCATTACAATGTTTCAAATTAGAATTATGAAACCTGCTTTAAGTGTTTAAAAACTAAACAATACATGTACATTTTAATATAATACAGTATATAAATAAATGATTATCCAATGGGTATTAAGTTTCTTGTTTGCATTTGCATCATTACCAGAATATTGTATAAAATATAGATGCAATGTTTAGCCTATTTAAATATAAAGTAGTTGAATTGATGGCATTATGCTGTAATAGTTGCCCACAGAGACTTGATGTTCAGAAAAGCAAATAGTTGCCGGGAACGMAGTTTGAGGGCGACTATGAAGTTTCCAGTAACATCCAGTTTMCAAATGCAATTATCACAGCATACATGCAATACCAGAGATTTCAACTGCTCTATTGTTTTTATTAGTCAATAACAAAATTTTCTGAAGCGACTGGCTCTATGCACTGATAGTRCCTTTCTGGAGCARGCAGTATCGCATCATGTGGTCGGCKTTTGACCAATGAGAGMGGAGGAAAATTTGTTATTGAATTATAAAATCTAATAGAACATGCTATATAGTATGGCCAGCTGAAAACACTTCCTAACTATTCATATCAAGCAATTCATGATAATTGATAGAAAACATTAATTTGAGTAAGAAATACTTTTCAAAAATTATCATTAACATCTCAGTGTTTTGCTAACTCAAAATTAAAATAAAAACAAAACAAAAGAATTATATCTTTAATTTGTTTGTTTGAGTCCATGTTTTGCAAACAGGTACATAAACTGCAATATAATAAATAAATAGCATTTAATTATCATCAAATTATCTAGAGTTCAATCAATAATAGATATTGATAATTTATTTTGATTGATTAGTTGAACTGGGTACATGTATACTGCATGATCTGGTTTTAGTATTTTAGACCGACAGTGTCAGTATGTGCTTTTAGCTATATTGGAACCTAAAAGCTTTTTAGCTGTACTGTGCCTACCTGCTTGTAAATCTACTATTTATCTACGAGTGTTCCCATTAGAGTACATGCATACCACTTGTATTGACTTGACACATTCTCAAATCCATGTGTATATGTCAAAAAAGATCAAATCAAAGAAWACTTAAAGAATACTTTGCTTCATTTTTACATACAAAGATGCAGTTTTCAGTTTCTGTCAATAAGTCGGGCTTTAGGTGTCAAGGACGTAACCCTTAGTAATGTATAACATTAATGCATTAAATTATAAACAACTCTTGATTCACCTATAAACAATAGATGATTCATGTCAATGACATTTACATTTTTTAAGTTAAAACTACGTTAATAAAATCAATACAGAATTGTACACTAAGTGGCACCAAATAAAGTACGATCTATGAAAGATGACAAAAAGATTTGATTACGCTTGCGATAAGGCAGGATAAAATTTGAAGTCAAAACATTCAACGAAAGGCCTACTAGGCTGGTCAATATTTCATGATCGACGGTGTAAACTTCATTATTAAATCAACGGTCCACATMTTTACTTCTTTTAAAGATCCATAGCTATGAATTACAATTGTTTTATCGAGTGTTTAAAGAAAAAAGAAAACTATAACAATTATTCTCTTGCGGTTTTGCTTGAAGTGAAAAGATCGTTGCAATGTAATTATCTGGAAGCCAGTAAAGTGTTCACTTAAGGATTTCTCATGTAGATCGACTCGATTATCAAAGTTTTGGCCACACTAGTTTGATCTCTGTCGTACTTTCTACAACGATGTCAAATCAYTTCGATTTGCCAATTTGCATTCCTTCAGAACTCCACATTCCTAGTAACCACAGAAAATCRTCCGCTGCCTGGATTAAACATGTCCTTATTGGAGATGAATTTTGAATAGATTACTGTCCGAAAAAATCACCTTATACTCAGATTACTAGTATTACATGTGCGAAATAGCTTTATCAGCTTTATTAACATTTTGCTGATGTTTAATGTTATCATTTTGAAGTCAGGAAGAGTGTATAAGAATGACTAAGGTCCAAGGAACACGATTCAAAACAGTCGTTGACCGTAGCAAACGCAAACAAAAAAAGGTCCTCCCAAACACGCTTGCTTTAGCAAAACAGTCGTCTCAAGACTATTTATAAATTGCTAACACATCAAAGATAATTATTTTGAATCTCTAAGGACGTCAAAAATAACTCACAACACAAATCGCTCACACTCGAATCGAATAACGGAGACTCAGACTGATCCAGATAAGGAGTGCATCACCTTTCCTTGGATTTAACTCACCTAAGTCAAACAAACCTATCCAATCATTGGAGCTGCAATTTTCATGGATATCCCAATACACCGTTACGCTGTCCCCAACGGTTATCCTTGCCTTGCTAAGTTTTAACATTGAAAATACTCCACGGCATTCAGCAAAGCTGGCTTCGCTGTGTGCTTGTCGTATGGAATAGCCTTCGTTGATATCGCTAAGAGATCTAAACCTAAGTAGTTCTACGTCCCCGCCAGGCATGGTAGGACTAGAAGGCGTTCTATTGACACTATCCTCGGGCCAGTCATTACGATTTAACTGATCCAAAAGTGATTTTCGTTCACATGGATCCGATGTGGCTGTGCTTGACAGACTTGTCTCTGTGCTTCATGAGATGCGCGCGCATTTTGACGGAGCACTTTTCCGGAAGTCAATTGCGAACGTCAACTTCCGTTGTGATACTCCCAAATGCATGTCCAAGAAATTATTTTATATCTCCTTTTATGACGAAAGATTAAGTCTGAAAGTGTAAAACTTCTATACAATAGTTAASTTGTGACCCCTTAGTTAGGCAGACTTCTCCGTAGCTGAATCCTTGTCGKATACCATAGTAAGACAATAGTAAACAGTAAACCGGAAGTAGCACTATCCTGACATAAATCATTCGTTTATGGGCTTGTTGAAAGCATMTCGTTTGTTTACTGGAATCATTGTCTAGTATTTCTTTGTTGTTTCATASTTRACGTGAAAAAAATTCCGTTTACATAATGGTTACTGCTTTTTTTTAGTTGCCATTTCGTTTTCAATCTTTCAAGAGGAATCATRATAGCCTTCAYAGCAGACGTTTTTAAGTAGTTCGGCTGTTGCCGAGAATTATCTAACAAGTTTTAGTGTTACTGTTGTAATTATTTCAAGCATTGCTTCCTTAGTAGACTTTTGATTTCCTGTATTTCAAATTATTACAAATACCCTCTAACTTAATACTCCAAAACATTGAATTCCTTGAAGTTCTTGTTATCTAATTGTTTTGTTTTCACCTGCTTTTTTACGGTGTTAAATTTATCAGTTTTTACACAAATGTTTCTTTAGAAACACCAATGCAGCTCATACTAGTTTACCACTAGTTTCCACCATTTTCTCTTTTGCTTAGTCAGAGATATTATCACTTGATACCATCAAAAATGCAAAAGATGTTCCAAAATATGATGTATC